CTGTTTAATTAGACTGCTGCTGCTGCCGATAATCACTTCCACCTCCCTCCTAATGACAGTGCAGCTCCTAAATCCTGCAGCACATGCACATAAGGTGGCTCTGACCCTGAGGTTAGATGTGTGTTGGTTTTTTTTAAGCTAGAATTAAACACAAAGCTGTGAAGGAAATCTGGTTGGTCTTGGAACTTCAACGAACTCACTCTGATCAAAGGAACTACGACCAAATCAAACCATTTCCTCAAATGGAGAATGAAAATGAGCAAAATAAAATTCAACACTAACCACAAAAAGTGCCTAAAACAGAAGGTACTATAGAACATTAGAACCCATCTACATCTTTCCAAGAACAATAGTACTGGGAAACATTGATTAACCTAAAAAAAATATTTCTGCCTTACAGTGTTTGCCTGTTCATATTGAAGAAAGACTGCAATGAAGATTATCCTCATCCTTAATAAAATGTTCCAAGTTCCTAGTGGAAGTGAGGAGTCTCACAAAGACATGGAATTTCTTGTTACTGCATCGGTCAAACGTCTAAGAAGCTATCGTTAATGGACAAAGGTCCAGTTAGTAACAGTTATGTGTGTAAAATGTCTACGTTAGTTCAAAAGAGTCTATTCGTTGCCTGAGAAAGTGTTAAAGACAGACATCAGAAATACTGTAGGACTACAGATTAGGATTACAGTGTCAGGTAAGGTCGAAGGTCAACCATTTTTCATCTCCAGTGTTTGTCTGTTATTTTATTTATTTTCTTATTGGACCTCTCAAGTCAGATGTTCATCGAACTCTACAGTAAGAAACCAGAAGGCTGGTTCGACGCGACCAGTAGGTTGGGTTTACAGTCAGACCGGAGACACTGTGCAGACGCAGCATGTCCAGGCTCGTTGTATGAATACCACAGTTTGATCTACTACATTGAAATACTTTCCTGATGATCCTCAGGTCTCACTAAGGAGTTCCAGGTCCTTTCCTTTTGAATGTGATGTAACTTTGACCACACAAGTCCATGACAATTAAAACAACACGACAAAATATTATGGGGTGGTGGATATACATATGTGTAGATGCCGTTTATGACCCATTCAGATGCTGTGATGATAGACACACCCCTGACATGCTGACTTTCTCTGATTGTGCTGTTAGTATTTCACAACCTGACTCGAAAGCTTATTGATAGCAGTTATCAGCCTGCCTTACACACAGAAGATCCTGGGTTCGAACCCCAGAGGAACCAAATCCTGAATGGCAAAGATGCACACTGAATTGGCCCATTGTTGGATGAATAACTGCCAACATGTCTTTGTTGCTGCTGACAGTATAAACACTGATACTGCTGCTACTGTTGCTGCTGCTACTGCTGCTGCTGCTACTGCTGCTGCTGCAAAGAGACTGTAGATGTGTCCACACTTGAGTTCGCCTTTACATGGTCACAGCATGAAGAATGTTTCCAGCAGGTGTGTGTCTCTCTGTGTGCATGACGCCTGTGTCTCCATCCCTAAGCAGGGTGGATGTGCAAAAGTGGGCGGGGTCATATCTCATCATTATGGTCCTGCAGAGTCAGCAGAAAAGTCAAACAGACTCACCGTGTCCTCCAGGCGTTCTCTCGTCCTCAGACGTCGTCTCAGCGTCTCTTCACAGGACTTTCATTGTCTGCCCTAAGATTGTACATGCACACGCTCATGCACAAGACCACAACACTGATGCCTGATCTCTGACTCACTGACAGGGAACCATCTGCTGCCTGTGTGTAAAAACCAACCAGACTCTACAGCGAGGCTATCCTGGACTTACCCCGATTTCCCCACATTAACCTCTGAAATCCAGAACAACATAGACAGACCCAGAGTCAGAGTAACCTGGACTAACCCTGACTCTCCTACTGTAACCCAGGATAATCTGTGAAGCTAGAATAAACTGGACTGACCTTTATCAGCCCGGGATAACCCAAAGGAGTTGTAATTAACTGCACTAGCAACAACTGCCATGGGTTTGTTTGTTGTTACTAGATTGTTTCCTGTTCCAACCATCTTTAAATCTCTGGTTGTTCTCCAACTTTCCTCACAAAGATCCTTAGAACATACTAAATAGATTAACTCCTAGTTTTGATTCAGGACAAAGTACAGATACTGTCATCACAATATTTGTCTTTAACAGTCTGTTGTGCATTATAACAGTTCCGTCTACTCTTAAGTATATGTGACATTTGGGTATTCCGCATGTCTACTACATGAACTGTTCTGTTAATTTATTCTGCTTCAACTGTGACTTTATTGGAAAAGAAATTACCGGTATTCAAATACAAATGTCACTAAAAACCTGATTGAGCATGAGTGATCCGGAGTGACCTTTTACACTTGACTTTCATGCTTTACTCGGACCAGCAGTTTTAATTTCAAAAGGTCTGTTTGAACGCATTTAGAACTGATCCTTTTGTTTGACTTTAACCTTGAAGTGAAACCTGCTGTAAATCTGAATCCTTTATAACTGAGTCAGCAGGTCAGAGGTCAAACACAGAGACAGGGGGTGAGCCACAGAGGTGTAAGGTTCAGTCCTTAAATGAAGAGATTTTTCTTTTAACTGTTCCCTTTCTTTTGCTCTTTCCTTCACTCTTTGAAATGACACATGAACCGGCCCCTCCCCATTTCAAACACACATCATTACCATGGTCTCTAAACCCAGCAGCATTACTCCAGATGTCTTTATTGAGGATAAAGGTCCACCTGTGACCTGCTGATTTACAGGTCACAAAACAGACATCAATCTGAAGCTAGAACCAGAATGAAGACAAAACAGATTCCAGATTTAAAAAGAACGTATTGGGTTATTGGGTAGTGTTGGCATCAGGAAGCAGGTGGAACCCGAGTGCAAGACTCAAGAGGCAGAGACCAGTTCAGGAAGTTTATTTGTAAAAACATTCACTTACCCGACCCTCAAGAGCAGGCACAAACAAACAGGATCTTTGGGTAGCGAGAAGACAAGGCATAAATGACAAGGTATGGACAGCAACGTAGACTGAACGCCAAAATAAACTGACAAGAACAGTGTGAGGCAGAGAAGTATATATAAATAGGGCACCAAGTGACACCAGTGGCACTAATGACAGGTGAGTGTGATCACAGACAGACAGACCTCACAGACCACTCGTATGAACAATAAAGCAATGCTAATAATCCTGTCCTCATAAACTGGATCTCCTTCTGTGTGAAATAGTAAATGTGGCCCAAACAACTGCGAAAGAAGATATAATCCTCTCCTGGCACTACTCAGTTTGGATGTTACCTGAAATGGCCCATATATTAAATGTGGGTCAGTTCTGTGTTTTGGACTTTCAGGCTGAAGTAAAGCTGTGGCCCAGATTGGGTCAACAGGAATGGACCACTAAACAGTATGTGCTGCAGATCAATCACAGCCTCCTTCAACAGTCTAGTATTTCTCAGTGCTTCACGTTGGTCTGGACATAGACCTTAATATTAGACTTGGCCTGAACTGGTCTTCCAAGACCTTCATTTTACTTTTGACCTAAACAGGACCTTCATATTAGATAGGATCCCAACTGAGCCTTGAAGTCTGCCTGGACCTGCAGACTGGTCCGCAGCCCACTCCGTGCTGCAAAACCATTCAACCTAACGAACGTCTGAACCTCCTTTAAAGGGAGTGAAACACAAAAAAAGTAGTGTATGTGTGCGTGTGGGCACGTAAATGTGTGTAGGAGGTTTACATGTTCTTTGATACAGAGGCATCAGTCACGGTCTTTCCACAGTCTGGAGCACATTCCTCAAATCCTGCTGTGTTTTGTTCCTCATTACCTACAAGAACCTGACAAAAACCTACACCAACTAACAGAAACCTGAAAACAAGGAAAGATGAAGATGGTGGAAGGGTGAATGAGAGAGAATGGGAGTCTCCCTCAAAGTGAAGAAAAGTCTGACTTTAGATTTTTATTATTCTGGTGAAGATATCTAAATCTCTGTTGATGAACAGGAAAACTAAGAGACTGAATTATATCCACATTCAGGTTCTGTTTCTTCTGTGACTTCACTGAAGTCATTTTTCCCACAGGTTGTTGTATTTAGCTGCTGAGGAAAAAGGAAGAAGATCATTCAGTCATTTAATGACAACATTTCTCTGGTGTTTAGTTCTGTGGAAATGAGCAGAAACATTTCCTGTGGTGGGAGTTAATGATGATGGGACACCGTGGGTCTCCTAAAATGATACAGTTGAAAAGATGATGGAACAGAATTCTGCTCTAAGATCAAATCAGTCTCTGGAACTTTTGACTTCATTTAATCTAAAGTATTGTTTGTTTCGGGAATATAATGCTAGGAACCATTTTCAAGGAACAAAATGGTTCTTTAAAAACATTGTTAGCCTTTGTTAATACTATGAAGGTTTAGCGTTTAGTGTCTCTTGTACAACTGGAGTGTCCAGTTGATTGTACTTATCCTACTACACTGCTGCTGACTTCTGCTAACTTCTCCTGGGGTTCCAGGTCTCTGAGAAGATTCCGGACCTGAAGAAGAGAGGAAAAGTTCCTTATGCTCAGGACATAATGAAGGAGACAGGTTTGTCCAACAATATCACCAACATGTGGAAACGTCCTCGCTGTGGCGTACCTGATTACCCTGTCCTGAAGGGGGAGCTCCATCATGAACGACACCGCCAGAGACGCTTTGTTCTTTATGGAGGACGCTTGGACAAGACAGACCTCACCTACAGGTTGATATTTGCACACTGGCAGTCCAACACCAACTACACACACCTTACACCACAGACCAATCTCCACAGAGAAAACGTTGTATTTTTTCACATTTACAGAGAAGCTTCAGGGTTGCTACTAGTCTGTGAGATAATAGTCAGCTTGTTTTGAGATACATTCAAGCTATCTTCTTTCTTTTTCTGTTTTTGCAGTATTTTAGAGGGGATTTGTAAACAATTGGGTAACTGGAAGCACCATAGCTGTATATTTAGCAGAATTTCAGCTGTTTTTGGAGTAGATTCTATTTATTGATTAGCTTACCTACAGCAAGTCTTCTGAGCTGTTTTCTTTTTGTTTTTTTTGTTTTGGTTTTTTTTTTTATATATATATTCACTTATTTTTAGGTACTAGGCTAGCTAAAAGTATGCCTCGGAGGCTATACTTTTAGCTAAGTTGTTAAGTCTGTGTTAGCTTGAGGAGCTATGTTGCTGTTTTTTTCTTTCGTGTGCTGTAGCCTTAAAACAGTTGGGTTTCTCTATGGACTTTGGTTTGGGGGACAGAGTGGTTCATACATTTTAATTTCCTGTGTGAAAAGTCTATTAGTGATGAAAAAAGAAAGTTTTTTGTGTCCATCCCTTTTGTTGAACAGCTACAAAGATTTATTCCCAGTGTCCCTGCTGGCAGCCATGATTTTATTGAAAGCAAGCATCCATGTCTGTGGCTAGTTTTAGCAGCAGGGGGTTCACATGGTGCCAGTAAAACACACAACCATAGCACATGAAATTAAAAGCATGGAAGACAGAATATAGTTTATATTTGATGGATATTAAATGTGAAGTGAGAAAAGAAAATGAATCAGTGGAGCAGACTATTAGTTTTGAAGTTTTTAAAAATGAATTTTGCTGCCGTTCTTTGGTCTGAAGCCTGACTCCATTACTGTCAGCAGCTACAGCCTCTGTGTCTGTGTCTCCTGGGGTTTCTTTTCATTAATTCTAGCAGGTTTTCAACTAAATAGAACAACAATAACCAGTGGTGTGGGGACACAGTAGTCCATGATGTATGGCTGTGGCCGTCAGTTTTGTTCATAGTCACGAATAAATACACATCATCTTAAAAAGTAGAGATTTGAGATGTTGCAGAGATGCCTCCATTAGTGAGTACTTTTGTGTTTTTTGGTGGTAAAAACCTTTGTCCAGCGGAAATAGACTAGCATTGCTGTATCCATCTAAGCTAAAATAATTTGTTTTCTCCATCCTGACTAGCATAAGCATAAGTCACTTGTTGTTCCAGAACTGATTTGAAGCTGTTGTATTTGTGTGTTTTTCAGATATAGGTCAGGTGAAGGTGATGACTCAGGTCGTGGATTTTCGTTTCTAATCTGTCAGGTATTTGTGTTGAAAGTGATAAGCTCAGGGATTTAAAGCCAGGTGAACTTTGTTCAGGGGAAAGTCCCAGCACAAATATTTACTCCCTCTGTGATTTTCCACACTCCTAAAATTATTTCAACGCAAATAGGTTTTTTAAAATCTCCTTTAGCTTTTCATAAACTTTAAATAATAAAAAAGAAAATGATTCACTATTTTTTAAACAAACATTTTCCCATGATGCCATACAATGGCATTGTTGATCAATCAGTGTGTACATCATTAATGTTTGGGTGGTTAATTTGATGGGGAGATTTGTGGGAAGCCAAGGCACAAACCACAAGCCATGAACACCAAACTCATAGCATGGACACAGACTATCAACTCAGACCACTTCTAACACATGGACACAACACACACAGAACAATGACCCCACAAAGACAGAGTTAGAGGTATATATACCCTGGACACCAGGTGTCACCAGTGAGACTGACGACAGAGACACAGGTGATAGTGCTGACACTGATGAGGCACACACAGGAAAAAAGAAATGAGACAGAGAGACCTCACATAAAAAACAGCAAACAATCAAATTCTACCTAAAATGTACTTTCTGATTTAGCAAGTGGCCTACAAAAGTGGGGCCATAGTCTCTGATGACCTCATGCATTATCATCATCATCATCATGGTTGTTAAACAGGATTGGACCTGTTCATGGCATAGGTGTAAATAAACCCTCTGTAGCTGTTTGCAGTCAGATCCCATCCTCATCAACAGCTGATCTTCATGTTTCCCTGTCACACTGATGATTGATTGCTCCTTATCATCTCCTCCTCACGTTCCTGCAGCAGCTCCTATCTCAGCTCTGATCCTGAACCACACAGGGTTTTTGTTGCACTGGAGTCTCCTCTCTAAAAAACAACAGCACTTTCTGGTATTGATTGTGGGTTCTAATTTCACTCATCACTCTGGGTGGTTTGATTTCAGACTGTGAGCTCCAGGGCATCAAATCTGCTGAGTCTGATTAGGGGGAGGAGATCCTGGCTGGTGGTCCTAGTCTGAGTCTGCCTGAGATACAGGATGGTGGTCCTGGTCTCACTGAGTCGTTCTGTTTTATACATGCAGAATTGTGCGGTTTCCATGGCAGATGGGTGAGGACAAGGTACGCCGCATCTTCCAGGAAGCTCTGAAAATCTGGAGTGACGTGACACCGTTGACCTTCACTGAGGTCCGCAGCGGGAAATCTGACATCCGGATTGATTTCACCAGGTTAAAAGAACAAAAACAAGTCCTTGTAATTCCAATAGTTTCTGGTACTGTCTCAAGACCCTAAGGGCCTGGTTTTCATTTGTATTCAGTTTTATTTAATAAAAAACACATCCAATCCCCCAACATCACACCATACCCTCATAGTCACACATGTGTTGGCTTGTTTTATACACCTGCAGATACTGGCACGGAGACAACCTGCCTTTTGATGGTCCAGGAGGGATCCTGGCTCATGCCTTCTTCCCCAGAACTCACCGACAGGGAGACGTTCACTTTGACTATGATGAGTCTTGGACACTGGGAAACCACATGGGTAAGTCAAGGTCTAGACAAGCTCAAACAAGAATCAGAAATATAAGGAAATAAAATTAATAATGAAAATATTAATAATTTACCATACAGGTACCGACCTCCTCCAGGTTGCAGCCCATGAGTTTGGTCACATCTTAGGATTGCAACATTCCCGTGAACCAGGAGCTGTCATGTCGGCGTACTACACCTTCTCTTATCCACTGAGGCTGAGCGAGGACGACAAAAGAGGAATTCAGTTTCTGTATGGAAGTCATCCAGAAGCCCCGCCCGCTCCACCGCCTCGACCTCCACCACCACCACCGCCACCACCACCACCACCACCACCATCATACCCTGAGACCAATGAGATCCCAACCATAGTAAGTGGTGTGCCTACAACGCAGTGAATAAAACATCATATATGCAGATGTTTTCTCAACTTCACGTGTGACCTTTATGTAGCAGTGGCCATCATTTTTTTAACCACCTCAGAATGTCTTGCTTAACCTAAACAGTCTCCTGTTGGTCTCTGACCACTCACTGTAAGAAACAATTTAGTTGGATTTCATCAATTTCCTTGCGTCAGTCCAGGAGGATTTCGACTAAACATCAATGTGTCATCAATGTGAGCTGGCTATCTTTGGTTGTAATTTTAATTAATGTTTCTTTGATTTAGGGCATAAGTTAGGAGAATTCTACCATTATCCTCAGTGGTTCCTGACACTGGTGTTCCACATTGTAGCGCTGATGGCAGCATCTATCATTAAACATCATCACACACATGGTTGTGTTTTAAAGCTGTCAGAGATAAATCATCTTCAGATCAGTTTGTGTCGTAAAATCCCTAGGAGTCGTAAAAGTCCTGCTGCTGCATTTTGTTTCCTCAGTTAAGGGAGACATAAATCTTGAATCCTGACATGTTTGATTCCCAGCCTGACGCCTGCCAGACCAACTTTGACGCCGTGTCCATGATCCGGGGCGAGCTCTTCTTCTTCAAGTCCGGGTACGTGTGGAGGATCAGGGATGGGCACCTGGAGAGTGGATACCCAGCGCTGGCATCCCGCCACTGGAGGGGAATTCCTGACAACATTGATGCCGCATTTGAAGACAAGTCTGGGAATATCTGGTTCTTTCAAGGTGAACGTGGGTGGGGGTTAGAGTGGGGACTATGGTTTCAGGTGAAGACAAGATGAAACAGGAAGTGGTTTAAGAGACCTGTAAAAAAGACTGTAATGATAGTTTTAATTAGAAATGAAAGGGAAAAGGTTCACGCTGTGGTTCTGTGATTCAAACACAGCCAAAGATAGATATGTTTGAGTCTCACTTCAAAAAGCTGCAAATAATAGAAATGATTTTAATTAGAATTGACAGTGAAAAGGTTTGTCTGTGGTTTTCTAACTTAAGTTGCTGGAAAAAAAAACCCCAGACTTACTCCGTCTTGCCAGTGTCATCATTTGTTTTGTTTTTTTATATCTTGTTGTAACCGTTCAGACATGATCTCAGTTTGTCTTTAAATCCAGAACATATAATCACAGAACTACATGACCTGAGGCAAGTTTAAATACAAACAGCTTTCCATAGACTGGGAGTTATCATGTCTGCCTTACACATCTGCCTTACAGGCAAAAGGTGCTGGATTCGAGACCCAGAGGAACCATATAATGGCACCTCCAGTGGCAGCCTGTGTGGGTTGCAAAGACTCACACTGTGAATTTCCCCGTTGTTGTACAAATAAGGGACAAATATTTATATTTCTAATATAGTATATAATAATATATAAATATTAATATGGAGCCATGAAGACATAGATGGACACAAGAGTCAACCGTCAGGTAGTAAAGTTTATCTGGTATTAACAGAATAAAAGATGAATCTGCTCACCTTCCCTCTGTGACTTTGCAGGTCAGAAATACTGGGTGTTTGACGCAGAGATGCAAATCCGAGGTCCAGAATCCATCAGGACTCTGGGTCTATCTGTTTCTGGGATCCAGGCAGCGTTGCGCTGGGGACACGACTCCAACTATGACACCTACTTCTTCAAGTCTGGAACCTACTGGAGATTCAGTCCCCATGAAAACCGGTTGGAGTCGTTGTACCCGCGCAGCATGCAGGACTGGAGTGGAATTCCCAATGATGTGGACGCTGCCTTCAGGGACATCTATGGTAAGCTGCAAGACCCAGACACAGGTTCAGTCGATGCTGATTCTGTCCTGCCAACAGGAGATCATCAGAGATGTTTCTCTTGTTTTTTCAGGATATGCTCACTTCATCCTTGGACGTCAGTACTGGAAGTTTGACCCAGTTGGCAGGAACTCCCTGGAGGGATATCCTCGTTACGTAGGCATGGACTTCTTTGGCTGCAGAATGATCTGAAAAGTCACAGGAACTCATTTTTGTTCCTGTGGAGATTCAAAATGTTGGTTCTTATGAAACAAAAGAGACGTGTGCTGTTTGGATTTGAGGAGATGAGATGTTCTCCTCTGCTCGACTTCACTCACTGATGCTCAGATCAACTTCAACACCTTCTCAGGAAAGTCCAACTGTGGTCTCCTCAGTCTCTGTCTCCTCTGCAGCTCCAGTCACACTTATTTTGCACATGTTCTCACTGCTGGGCAGAGATTTGGACTGGAGGTTTAACATTAATGTGAACTGTCTTTCTTTTGAGCCTCACACACAGAACCGGAACCAGTCTGGACCTTCAGTCTCCATCACATATGAACACCTACACCTGCAGATGATTAAAGAAATATCACGGTATATTTGTCCACGAGCAGCTATAAAACCATCTCCCTACTGATTTGGCTCTCATTAGATCACATGGGCCATCTTTCCTGAAATGTATCAGTACCTTAAGCATAAGCACCCATTTCAAACTAAATTCTTTTGTTTATAGGGTCTCCTTGTTTTTTTCTTCTGTGGTGAAAGTCCTGTAAGGACAAATTACTTCTTCTGGTGTCTAGAGTTCTTTAGCCCTCAGCCAGGTGGTACACTGTACAGTGTGTTTAAAAAACAACAACATTGTTCTCCACCTGTGTTCTCTGTGTCTTTGGTTCTGCCTCCAGTCTCTTAAAGATCAATATCTGGACCTGATTTTTTAAGACTCAGTCCACATTGAGAGTCTACTTTAGAGAAACGGTTTCAAAGTGAAAACACTGTAAGACGCTGGTAACAATCTTTAGTTTATTTAAGGTAACTGGTTCTAAAAGTGTCTGGTACTGTGCAGTGGCAAAATAAAAATGTTTCCACACTTGGTGAACATTTCAATAGTTCCTGGCACTACTTTCTACTCTTGAAACCTTTGAAATATGACTGTTATCTTAAATGGAAAGGAACTTAAAGGGACAGTTGAGGTATAGGTTATATTTTACAGGAGAGACTGCAAAATGTTTTTAATTAAAAAGCCAGCGATAATAAATCACCACTTAAAATCACATCACCTCTCCCTACCATAGCGCCACCTAGAGGCATTTTTTCAACAAAAGCCACTACAGAGATGATCACCTGTTCTCAAACACAGAGAAAAAAACATGTTCTAATTACAGCTGTTGGCAGAACAACATGGCTGCCATGTCTGTCAAAGAAACTGATGGTTCATATTATTTTGTAATCCACTAGGCATCCATCCATCCATTTTCATTTGTTTATCCGTTACCGGGTCGCGGTGGCAGCAGTCTCCATGACCCCTACCCAAATCACACTGCACCGTACCAACCCCCCTGAACCTTCCTGCAGGTGGTGAGTCCACTGGAAGGTACCAACTGCCCTAACCTGGATTCGATCTTTCCCAGAAGGTGAACCCTGGGGTTCCACACCAGTGACAGAGACATAGCCCCTGGGCCAAAGAGCCACATTATTTTGTAATAATTTCTAAACAATATTGGAAGTATATTTAATGATCATTAACAGGGACATTTGTCAGCAGAACTGATGTTTGTGATGGAGTATTATTTCAGGTATTGAAGGATATGATAGACGTTAAGGCTGACATCAGGTCCTGTTTGTGGGCTCCGCCCAGCAGGTTGAGACCCAGTGTTGGTGTTAAGTGTTGGGACAGTTCTCTTTGTCTGCAGCTGCAGTGAAGACTCACATCATCGCAATTTTGTTTCAGTTGTTTTTTTTCTTCAGTGCAGGACACTGAGCACTCGTTTGTTTTTGTTTTTAAATTGGTCACTGTTTCTTTAACACCCTATTTCTGTTTTCATTCAAGTGTTACTCTTTGTTTTTGACATATTTATACACCTCTGACCGTGTACATACATGTTTTTGATTCTCTCTTTGTGTAACCTCAACTTCATGCATTTGCAATTTATAAATAATAATGTTCTTTTAATAAAAACAACCTTTTTTAACATCTGTTTCCTGGTATTGTTTCTTTAAAAGACAAGTTCAATATAGATACATTTCATAAATAATTTTAACATGAAATCTTTTATTAAAACAGGACTATTAATGTAAAAAAACCAAACCCATAATGTCTGAGTCAGGCTGTCAGTTTCTTCTACATCATCATCTGACTCAGTGTTTTTGATTTTTAGTAAAAACAGTTACTGTTCATGTTTTAGTCAAAATACCTTTGTGGTTTGAGGAGGATGTTCGTTGCCCCACCTCCAGTGACTCTCATTGTTTGGGTTCATTTTCTTTCTGGAAGCTGCTGAGATGTTTCTGTCCATGTTACAGGTGGATGACTCACTGCTGCTGTTAGATAGTTATATTTAAAGACAGTCGTCCAATGGAGAACAGATACCGTATAACATCAACATACATTTATATATATACACTGTGCATATATATAGTACATATATATACTGTGTATATATATATATATATATATATACACACACATTTCTCCCCAATATGTACGTTTTTACAATAGGGGATTTTAATGTTTTAGTAAAGTACATAGAGACAAGTGAGTTTGATATATAGCTGGCATATAGAAGGGAGTGCACAGTCAAAAATGTTTCGGAACCACTGATTTATGGGATAGCTCTTCGAACTTTCTCCTACACATACACAGGCAGACAAAAGTAGCTTTTGTTATTTTTATTTTGTAAGAATTAGTAAAAGGTACAAAAGATAACAACAATGTAAAGAACAATAACTACTCTGAGTCAGTGGAGACATTTCCTCCTGCAGTCAGTGGTCAGAGAGAGAATAGCTTTTCCACACAGAGAAAAAAATAAACACATATTGAGGGTGACCAATCAGTACTAAACATTAATAACAATAAAAACATAATTGAATATTAACAGGAAATAAGGACAGTGGCAGCAGAGGCCTGAGACGTTGGTGGAACAGATAAACGTCCAGCTGTGACTCGGAAGTATAACCGTGTCACAGTACCTCAGTTTCATGGGAGGTGAGGGAGGGGCCAAAGAAAACATGGACGCAGCCTAAGCTGGTCACCCATTTACCACGCAGGTGTGTTTGCCAATCGCCTCATTCTCCTGCAGAGGAAAAAGACGATGACAACGTCAAAACACAAACAAACAAGAGAAAGAGAAAACACAACTGCCAGAAATAAAAAGAAATGATTTCTTGGTGAGATTAGATTTCCACACTGACCTTGTGTTTCTGTCCTGGTCTCTAATCTTCTTCTCCATCTCTGCGTCTGTCAGAGTCTCCAACAGAGGGCACCACTGGTCAGCGTCACCTGTGTTTCTAATGGCTATTTCCACCGTGGGCAAAGGATTCTCGCTGAAAAACAACACACACGCAAAACATTAAAAGAAAGCAAAGAAGGATGGAAACACTAGAAACAGTGACTAACAATATTAGTAAAAGTACAACTCTTAAATGCATGTCCTCACTATCTGCAGTTGTTAGCTGAAAACAGTTCAGTGTCAGAGTCACTGGCTAGTGTCAACCTGAGGTGACCTGTGGTGAACGCCACCAACCTCCCAGCTGCAGAAATCTGATGTTTTTTAGTCGATGACACACTTTTTCCAAACACCTGAAACTTTGTGAGTAAAACCTCACAAACACCTTGTTTTTGTATATAAACTCAACTTTCTGCATAAATGGAGAAAGTTGAGTTTATATGTTGTCCATAAGGGGCAGCAACATGAAAGTCATTTTACAAAATAAACCAACATGAAATCTGTAATATCAAAGAAAAGAAAACAAGTGTGAAGTTTGAACACATGCTGCTGATGTTGCAAATGTAAACACTTTTAAAATCAACTGGTGTTTCAAGTTTCTGTTTTGTTCTGATTTGTTTGTAATATATAAATATATACATTTGTGTTTTACAACTGCAATACAGGGATTGTTATTTAATATTACAGAAAAACAAATGTAAGGCATTTGTCACAGAAAGATTTTATTTTAAACTGCTGTGAGCAGAGTACTTTCTTTGGTACTGTTAGAGTGTGCAGCTCAATGGTGTGTGAGTTAAATCTCTTTCATCTTGCCTCTTTTGCGTGAACTGTTGTTATGGTTACAAAATGAATTATTTTATAGCCAATACGGAAGGTAATGTGATAACTATATATATGATTTGGCGCCAGCTGCTGTTCTTTTCATGTTCCTTTCTCCTGTCTCCTGTTTTTCATTACAAAAACGGATTTTAAAGAAAAAATGTTGTATGACCAGGCCACGCAAAATCGCGAGCGTTAATAAATTCATTCATTTGTTCATTCATTTTTTACTGATTATTCCTTTGCGTGGTCTTAGAGGAACTGGAGCCAATCCCTGCACTCCGCAGTAGAAACACAAGTGAATCAGGTAATTGGTTAATAATGGCTTTTACTTTAATGTGCATTACTGAGAAATGTTTTATTATTATTCCTATTTCATCAGCAGGGGTGGAAATTAATAAAAATGATTAATTGCATAGTACCAGGAAACCGATCCAATTAATGCCAATAAACAGTTGTAATTGTTCCCAGCACCAGTTTTAATAATGTATTGTGGTTGAGTGACTAAAAAACAGTAGTTTGGAAACAAGGAACAATCTGTCTGTGTCCAGTACCTGAAGGCATACGTCCTCTGGTGCCAGCTCAGCTGACCGCGGATGCTGTAGGCAATGGTGGTAACAAACTCTCCACCCAGACCTAACTCTGAACAGAGCTTGAGTGCAAACTTCTCTGGAGAGTTCTCCCTCTCTGACATGTCCCACTCAAACTGGTCCACCAGAGAAATGTTCCCCACATGGATGTTCAACTGTAAACATTTCAGACAGAAATGAACAGTTGACTTTTAAAGACTGCTCTGCCAACATTACATTATGACCTGTAATGGTGACTGGGTTCATCAAAATAAAGAAAAGAGTTCATTCACGGGAGCAGATTTTAGTAGTTTAACAACAAAGCAGCACATTTTACCATAGTATTTAAATGACATACATTTGCTCATTATATTGTTCATTAAAATAATTAGTGATATATATATAAAAATATCCTTTCTTCCACAAAGGTGAAATATGCAAATTTTACTTCTTTTTTTTTCACATTTTCTTCAGACGAATCAGTCGACTGAACAAGCCTTACCTTGATGATGACCCTCTGGTCTGTCTGGTCCTCTAAGATACTATCTGTGGGGTAAGACTCGATCTGCTGTCGGATGGCAGAGGCGATGGCAGGAACAAAGGTCAGGGGATTGAGGTCCAGGTCATCGCAAAGAATCTCAGCAAACATCTCAGGTGTCATTAGTTTTTCTGAAATATGAATTAAAGCAATGATGATAAAAGGAACTGTTAAGTAAATCCTTATCCATCTAAAACAAGTGACAGGTTAATTTACCGTTCATATTCCAGGTGAAAGCATCTCTAAGCTTCTGTCCCTCAATCTCCATGTCCAGACGGATTGGCACAAGAACTTCCGACTGAGAGGCATTCTCGTGAATTACAGCTGGATCGTGGTCATCAAAACTGAGCAGCAAACACAGGACAAAGATTTACACATATGGAACCTGAAATCAAATGTACAGTGATAAAATAATGTTTTATCAACTAATTATTCCTATTTCTCACCACAGTGGGAAGGTCCTCTTCTTGTCACGGCCCAGTCGACTGCGGTTGATGGTTGTGGAACAGGGAACTGCATCCAGATGGTGAGAACTATTGGGCAGTGTTGGAACCCACTGACTGTTTCTTTTTGCCTTCTGTTCCCTGTTGGTAAAGTAAACAGAATTATAAATGTTCATAAGAAAACACATATAGCATTTCAGGAATTAACCTTGTTTACCAGATATTTAAGTATTGTGTAATAATTGTTAACAATGGTTAACAATTGTATAATAATAATTGAGATTGCAATCAACAACACTATACACGGCAACAATAATCACCTCCTAATCTACTAATACTATTAACACTATCTATCTACTGTATCTACTTCTGCTAACCCACTAATCTAATCTACCAACATCCACTGTTCAGGTTTCCAATATTCATTGACAGTGTGCTGCTTCTCTTGTTTGTATTATATTGTACTTTATTTTATTGTATTTTACTATGCATGTGTTTTTTGTTCTGTACTGCTGCTGGAGCCTAAATTTCACAAAGGGAACTCCCAAGGGATTAATAAAGTGCTATCTATCTATTTAAAACAGTGGTGGGCCATCAGGGCCAGCAAGGCCTTCTCTGTTGGCCTAACATAAATCATGATCAAGTTGATACAAGTTCATTTAATTTATTAATTTACTTTTCCTAAATACATACAGCTTACTTCATATTCTTCAGATTCTCTTCATGTCATATTAGACTCCTTCCAGTGTTTTTTTAGGTTAGAGTTTTTATCCAATCAGAAATCAGCTAGCTGTTGCCAGGCTGTATGAAATCTGCCCGAGGCCTTCAGAATCAACAATGTGGGCACCGGGCAATGTAAGCGAACCGAAGCGAACGGACAGATACAGTTAATAGACAGTTACGATAGCCAATCAGATCACGAGTTGTTGACAGTAGGCCTTCTAGCTGTGCTGACGTTGAACGTGACATGTATGCATCCTGTGATTGGATACTCACTTCCGCCGTAAAACAATATAAATAACTGATTAGCAGAGACAGAAATCTAATATATACTCACTTTTTTATTCCACAATGGCCAAAGGAGGGCAAAATGTGGATTTGTGAACTTAAATTGCTTAACTAAGGCAGCAATGAGAAACCAAAGCACGACTGGACACTTGCGAGCTACGTTGCTTCTAAAAACTTTTGGGGACACTGGATTGTATGCACAGCTCAACGAACAGGTGCGAGAAGGATATCTTGTTGGAACTGAAACTAACAGATAAACTGTACAACCAAGTCATTGAGGTCTTCTTGAGGAAAGAAAGGAGAATGGATTTTGTGTTGAAATAGTGTTGAAAATTTGTGTTTTGGAGGACAGCTGTTTTGGTGAGTACAAACATTTTATTTATTTACTTGCGGATATATTTATTATTTATAAATGCGTCAGAAAATAGCCCATTTTGTAGACAGTTGGGGTGATGCAATGTCCAGTAGTGCTTATAGTGTGTTTCTGTATACAATTTCTCCAGCCGTGGTCACGTGGTGTCCTAAATTATGATATTATATGAGGTATTTATTGAAGTCGGACTAAGTAGGACATCACTGAAGGCCTAGGTGTGAAATGCACAGCCCACCACTGGTTTAAAATCATTTCCTGGTTAACAGTATCAAACGGTAGTTGTAAGCTAACCATTTTTAACTAACTTAATTTTGGTTTCTGGGTACGTGTGTATACCTGAGGTAGGCAGGTGGCTCGGTACTGATGGAAACTGCTTTGTACTTCTCATCGTTTCCTTCCAATATCTCCTCCACCTCTGAAGCTTTCAGGAGAGTCACACTGGTGGCCAGCTGAGTGTAACCATGATCTTTTACACAGCCAACACAAATAGGAATAAGTCAACACCAAAATTGAGAAGAGGTTTACAAACAAAACAGGGATAAGTTTTCAACCGAATATATGTTGTCACATGTGACAGTACTGACCGTGGGACGACTCCACAATTTTCTTGCGTTCTTCTACAGATGCCAACTTCCTCCATAGCGATGGGTATCGTTTATACAGAGAGCCTCTGAACATACGCAGGTAGTTTCCCACCTGGACAGATTCAGATAATGATTTTATTATGTATATTTAGCTGCGTCATTCATGTATCAAATACTACTTTAATCTGATTATAATTGGGCCGATTAGAGAGTTACAGCATTTAAACATTTTTTTATGATTATAATTAAGTACATGCAGTGCCTAAAAATATTTGGGAACTGTATACAAAGTCATTTTAAACGAAAGAAGGCAAAATTATTACAACGTAACTAATCGACTAAACGCGGTAACGCATCAAAATATTGAAATAATTTCTAAATTCAAGAGTATTCTAAATTATAAAGGCCGTTATACGTCATCGTTAGCAAATGTGCTAAAATAGAGCTAACCAGGTAAAACCGAGGTAAAGATGAATTAAAATAAAGTCGTTTTTATATTCAACTCGGTGATTTTACATTTGGGCTCATTTTGCTTTAATCTTAAAACGAAAACATGATAGAGAAAAATAAATGAACGTATGTTTTGTTAGCAGCGTCCTCCATCTCTATTAGCATCCATTGCTAGCTACCAACAAACTGCTACAAAAGGAGAGACAAAAGACCCCTAAATTGTCCTTATGTTTTTATCAAACCTTATTTTAGTCTCTCACCTCCGAACCAATCATGTAGAAGTCTCCATCTTCTTCCAGCTGGAATTTCACAGGTTTTTGACCAAACGTTTTACTGAGCGCCATCATTACATCAATTAAAACAAAGCCGAGAGTGAGGTACTGCGCATTCGCAAAGCACAGCAGTACTGGCGCTGAAAAATGACGTCACAAAAAAGCGCATCCGCATTAGAAGAAAAATTGTATTTAGACATTGCAATTATCTGACATAGAAACATTTTTACACCATACGCCCTGTAAATAACGTGTAATAAATAAATACATTGACTTTAATAAAGATATGGGTTGAACATCAACCCCGGGAAACAAAATATCGGTCCGGCCGTTGCAAAAAAGTGTATGTGCGCCCTCCTCTGGTCAACCTCAAGACTTTTTTTGCCATTGCTAAGGAGAACGCCAGTGATTTCATGAGATAAATCATTTTTATTTCAGTCTGCATTCTGTGATTAGTGAATTAAAACCCAGGGTCGTATCTTTACCTTGACATAGATATTTTTTAACCAAACCTGGATTTGTGTGATTTAGGTTTTTCTTCACACACATTACTTAGTGTTTGAGCCTAAGAACTATGAACATCATCATCATCAAAAAACTAGAGCCTTTTTTTACTTTTAGAAAGTTGATGTTTATTCATATATACATGAATATATTAATTTATAACAAGAGAGGAGATAATGTACAATTGAAAACAAAATATATACAAATTGATAAATTAACAAAAATAAAAAATGAAAGACAGTTAAGAGTTTGAGAAAAAGAAAAGTAATGAATGCAGTTAGAAAATTGTCAGAAAATTCTTTTGTTCAAATGGAAAACGGCACCGGACACAAAATAAAAAACAAAACAAAAATAGAAAACAACAACATAAGTGATTCCAGTCTGTTTTTTTTTTTTTTCTCGTAAACTTGTTCTCGTTTTTGTTCAATCACAGAATCAGGTCAAATTTACAAATGTTGACACAGAACCCATGCCCATATCAGTGACATCATTCCCTTCACAGAATACACTCACATAATCAATGACATCATCAACAGAGACCACGCCCACATGATTACATGGTAAAGTCGACCGTTGTTCAAACTTTAGACATTTCTTATAATTCTCTTGCAGATTACCACAATATATTTTTTTGAAAACCAAGTTTTCATACATGGGATGAAATTAATTATGACATTGTACAACAACATCACTTTCTTGTTTATGTAAGTCAAATTCCACCACTTGATGCAAAAATGTGAAAGTCTGACTCTGAATCACAACGGTTTCTGTACTGTACTGTTGTTAAACACACTCATTTTTGTCAAGGTAAATTTTAGAGCAGCCAGTAATGTTCTGGAAAGATTTTTCCTTCAGTTTAATTACATAAAGACATCCTCGTGACATGACCTTTTTCTCATATTGCAGTAACATCTCTGGGTTTTTAGTGCAACATTAGTTTTTCATGAAGTGACTCTATAATTACAAATGTTTTGAGACTTTTGAGCTGCAGTTTTTGTTAAATATGCTAAATTTGTCGGGAATATGAAATGTAGCATATACAAGAATTTCTAAAATAAAAGACATCATGAAATAACATTAATGTAATGAATTCAGATACTCATATTGACCACTTAAGCTGTATGGTGGTGTGTTGTTTCTGTCTGTATTTTCTTCTTTGGGAAGAGAAATGTGCCAGTAGGTGGCAGCAATTCAACTCAAACCAGAAGACATTATCTAGACGTAAAGATTGTGTTTGGTTGGAATAGTGTTAAAAATAAAAATCACTGAACACCAGTCAGAAGAATTTTTAGACAAGATTTTTTTTTTTCAGACGTGGAGAATTGGCGTTATTCAGCTGTTTACAGGCTGACAATTTAGGCACAGAAAAACCTACAAAGAAAAAAAAAGAGTGGTGGAGCCTGTTTCCAGTAAGGTCCAGTCAAAAGTCATTTAGTTTCGACATACTTCATTAGTGATTTACTTATTTTCCAGAACTCGAGTGGGTGTAGCTTTTGCCGTTACACGTTAGAATCACCACCTGCAGACTCAGCTAGCACAGTTGACGCAGTTAGCATTTAGCTGCAGAAAAATTCTTAGTCCACAAACACTGTCATATGATTATTATTATTTTTTTTTTTTTTAAATTCAGATGAAGTTCCAAATAAACAGTAAAAGATGGTTTTGTTTGAACCAAAGAGGGAAAAATACAAAAGAAGAATAAACATAGGTAGACTTTGAAAGTACTTTTTTCTCACAGTCCCAAAATGTAAGTCACAATGGTTAGAATAATAAGAAAAGACTTGGATTTTTGTCTTTTAAGTTTAAAGAAATATTTAAACTTATGGGAAAGAATTCTGACCAAAATCAGAAAAAAGGTCAAAACGCTTTAATGTGAATTTCATCGTATTCTCTAGAAAACGTGAAACCAAAGTTTTAAGAAATTGGTAATTTTTTTGTCTTTCAAAGTCTAAAGAGAAGAAATTCATTTTGAGGTTTGTTTCCTCAGCTTCCTGCAGCGTCACTGTTGTTCCTCTGAATGTTTGCTCCACAGAAAGTCAGGAGTCACAAAGAGGAAAACTCTGCATTGTACAGGAAACACACAGGCACGCGCACACACACACATAGCTGACACATGGCACATTAGTGGTCAGGAGGGGCAACCATGTTGAAAACTGAAGTCCAGAGTTCAGTAACAGACAAACAATGTTAACTGCAGTGTTTTCTTTTTTCTTTCCTAAACTGTCAGATTCATTCATAATAAATACTTTATTAAATTTAAGAATGACTATAATATTACTGCTCTTCTCTTTGTCTGTGTACAACTCTGTGGCTCTGGTGGTTTTCCAACACAGTTGTCAACCTCAGGAGACACAACACTGTGGTGTCATCAGAGAGGTGATAATTGGCAGCTGAAGCAGCCAATTAGAGCAGAGAGAAATAAAAAAACACACAAGAACAAGTCTATTAACAAAATCAAAAAACTGATGGTTTTTTTTGTACACTCGGTTTGTTTTTCTCACTGTAAATGTGCCAGGTGACCAAACACCACCTCTTGCACCTTGTAGTGGTTTCATGACTCAGCAATCTCGCTCAGAATGTCCAACACAACTGTCCACTCAGAACATCCAACTCCTCATCTTCACTTGACATGGCAGCATTCAGAAGATCGAAGATCAGTGAAGTCCTCAACACAACTTCCAAAATCAGAAAATAAGGAAATCCGGAATACGGAATGCCATCTGTGCTGGAAACATTTCTACCACAGAGCAACCCTGACATCTGCTGCAGCTCTGTGTTTTCTACTCAGGTCCAATTCCAAGGACGACAAACGTAAGTGTTAAAGTCTGAAGGTGCAGAATTCCTCACAGCAGCGAGAGGTTTAGAGTAAAATCAGGTAATGATGTAAACAAATGGTAATAATAGTCACATGACTTTTTTTTTTCATATAGAATTGGATCCAAGCTGCCGCGTGTAGACCAGAAACATGGTTTAGTGTTCCTGCAGTTTGCCATTGGAGCAGGGTTGTGTACCTTCCTTGTGGGTGTGTCCCGTGAGACCCCGCCCCTTCCAATCCTCTCAGGACCAGAAAGCTGAGAGGCTGCTGGTCATGTGATTCCACAGGAGAAGCTTCTCACTCATTGGTTTCAAACTAAAAACCAAAGTTTTCAGAAATTGCAATCCATTTTCGAAAAAGGAAACCCATTTCCTGTGAGGTGTGTGCGGCAGCCGGAGTGTCAGACACGGGACAGAGAACAAAAGAGGGGGTCGGGAAAAGGAGTCTCAGAAAATTCCTTTGGCAATTTTCAGGCCTTTCTGTTTCATCCGTGGAAGTGTGGAGCTCGTTACCGCCTTTGTCCTCAGCGGACGTGGAATGCCACGTTTCTTCAGAACAAAGTCATAGTTGGCAGTGGAGTTCATGGCGTAGAATACATTGGCATTGTCTGGGATACGCAGCTCTGGAGCACAAAGGGAAAAAAGAGGAAGACAAGAAGGACAGCATAAAGAAGAAGAAAATTTGAAAAAACACAATGAAAAATGTGTGAAGACCAAGAACTCAAGACAAATGTCAACAATAGTAAATAACATGTGATTTTAAATACAATTAAGTTTTATTTTAAAAAGCTGGTTTCAAATATAAATCCTTGCAAGTTGTGACTGGTGGTGGGATCATCAGTTGTTTATGGACAAATGGTCAAAAACTGATTGAAAACATTTTAACCATCCTGGAGATTTAAGTGACATCTTTACATCAATACCTTTGTCCTCAGAGATTTTCTGCATCAGCTCATATTCCTCTGTCTTCTCTCGGTCAAGGTTATGTTTGATCATGGCTTTTCGGATGACGGCTGGAGTTTTGTCCTGACTGGTCACCTGAAGGAGGATAAACCGAACAGTCAAGACTGTGACTTCACATTAATAACAGTAAATGTAAACAAAAGAAACTGTGAAATGAGTCTAAAAGCCATTTGAAGCCACTGATGGAGGCAGCAATGATGCTAAGTCTATTTTGTCCCTGTCAGACAGGCGTCCTTACCAAGATGCTCTTGTACATGTTCCCGTTCTCCACATCTAGGCTGACCCTGATGATGCAGCAGTCGTCCACTTGCTGGTTGTAGAGGGGCAGCGACAATGTGGAGTAATTGGACACGGCCGACACGGAGCGTTTGTGAGAACGAGATGCCTGCAGCGGTGTGGAAGAGGACACAGAGGACGAGGAGGCGCTGCTGGAGCCTGAGGCTGAGCCTGAGCTGGAGCCTGTCCCAGAGGTGTCCAATGAAGACAGAGATGTACACTCCCAGAACTGTAGACGGGAGGGTTCGGGGAATGGGGATGGAGACAGGGAAGAACACGGAAAATGTGTTTATTGTGAATTAATGGAATTAGTGTGTGTCCTTTCTTTCACAGTTGTTACTGATGTAATTGTCCACTCTGGTCCACCAATTTATGACAGAATTAAATAATATAAATATACTACTTACAGTAGAGGTGGATTCAGCAGCTGGAACCTCTCTTCCTAAGGCTGAGACACTGAGTTTCACTGAGGGGGTCGACGTCTGCAGGAGAAAAGAACGTAAGGTTACATAGAAAAAAGAATAAATGGTCATTACCTTCTGGTGTTCCATTTGGCTTTAAAAAGATTTTGCAGCTTGCTGTCAATGTAACTTCTACTTTTTTTCAGTTGTAAAGACTTCCTCACAATGTCTGTCTATCTTTTAATTGTCCTCTTACAGTAATTAAAAAATTGAGCTTCTTAGTGGTTTACTCTGTTTTAACAGGGAATAACATTTTTATGCTTTCTGTTTGCAAATAAGGCAATTCACACTAACAATGACCAGGGAAGTCATTGTTAATAAAGTATTTACCCACACACTGTCTTGTTAAATGATGCACTAAATATATTTTTCTATATTTTCCAGAAATGTCTTAACCAAATCCAGACCAACAAATAAGACCAACAAATGAGACCAAATGTATCATTAGCTGATTTTTCTCTATATTTTCCCAACAATAAAATCCTCATACCTTTCTCTCATGACCTTCAGGAGAGTCAGACAGGAAGCTGGCGTTGACATCTTCCAGGTCTGAGCCACTGGAGCTAACTGAGGTCACACTGAGGGCATCACCACTGTCTCCGCCTCCCTGATACGGTCTGTAGTGGGATTGATCAAATGACTTAGAGTGAGAGCCCGATGCCCCTGCAGATCCCTCAGCCAACTGCCGACTGCACACAGAGAAGGGGGAGAGGCTGGGTCAAGACTTTGCCTTAAGTTTTTTTTATTTTGTGTAAAAAAAGTTGTAGGATGTCACTCACTCGCTCCAGCGCTTCATGATGCCACCATTCTTCTTGGCTCGCAGTGTGTTAGTGGCCGACTCCGACAGAGGCTCAATCTCACAGGACAAGTGATAGCTGCAGAAGCAGGAAGTATGGGAGATGTCAGTGTAAAACTCACAACTAGAGTTTTCTCTGACAGAACCACAACATAAAAACTTGAACAACTAAGGATTTTCACACATCTCTTAAATGTGTGATAAATTTTAAAAAAAACTTAATTTATGATTTATTGATTTTTGTTGGAAAAGAAAACACCACCTCTCGGCCTCGCTGAGCTTCTCCACGCTGGAGAACCACTCCCTGAAGTGAGTTTCCTGAGTGAAGCTGTAGTTGTTGGAGGCTAACTGCAGAAGCTTGATCTGAGCTATCACCTCAAACTCCTACAGGCAGAGAGTGTAATTACACCACAGAGAAAACAGGAACAGCTCTACACCTAAGGTAAGGTTTTTAACATTTTTCATTACCTTTCTTCTCTTCTCAAAGTTGATGAGTCCTCCCTGCAAAGAAAAGCAGATAAAAACATCTGCTGGTCATTATGATGTCACAGGTCACATGGTATGAACATTGCATGAATCTGACCTCAGTGTAGTCCTTCATGGCTGTGTCCATCATCACCAGGTCTGTCAGAAATGTCCCCAGGTATGGAATGGTGCCCTGCATCACACCCTGTTTTGCACATAACAGCAGGAAATCAGTAAAACACTCCTTCAGAGGAAAAATTTGAATAAAGGAGGTTCAAAAATAAATTCTTGAACTAATATAAGAGACATTTCTTCAATATATTTCTAAAACAAAATAAAAAAAATCTCCCTAATTCAAATGTCTTAATAATTTGCGGTGACTACTATTATCAGCGGGTGGGGCTGTGACTCGGTCTATGACTGGAACTTACTAGGTCTCTCTGCTGCTGGTGCCTCCTCTGAGCCCGTTTGGGATTAATCTCCAGAGTGGCGAACTTGGACGTTCCCTCCTACAAAAAAATACATTAAAATAAAAACAGACAATAACGCATTTGTCAGTGTCTGGAGGTAGTGATATTTTTCAATATTCCACAATAAAACATATGATTTTATGACAAAACCATTGGTTAATAATAACAAGTAAATTGTACAGAAAAGGATGGACTTGTATAAAGATACATTCCTTCAATGTCAAATCCAGATTATCTGTATAAAAAAAGAAAATGTTTTCTAGGACAATAAATATGGATAAGTTCCTTTAAGATAAAACTTCAGGAGCTATGTGTTTAAGTTCCGAGAACATAGGGAAGAAAAACGAAGGGGGTTCTGTGTCAGGCTGACATTTCCTAAGGAGGCCTTGAGTTCAGTTCAGCTGAGATGCTGTGAAACCAGAGCTAAACGTCATGAACACCACTGCTCAGAGCAGATAGGAACACAGAGACAGGCCCCCCACGCATAACATCATTTGGTTTTATCTTCATCTTCCAGAATGTGCCACCTCCCTGTGACGTCAGTGGGGATTTCCTCAGAGTTACATCAGTCGTTATGACTTCAATCAGGTCCATATACAGGAGGTGGGTTTTTTGAAAGGCCCAGTTCAGGCCTTAGTAAAGTAAGATCATCTCAGAATATGTTTTTTTGTTTTTTTGGTTTGGTTAAGCATCACACTCCACTTTTGAAAGCAGACCAAGCAACCATGAAAAAGTCAACCAGTTAAATAACCAAAATTTAGTATGAGGAAGAAAAAAACTTTGGTTTCATATTGTTGTCCAAAAAGTACCAGACTCTATTTCACTTCCTCTCTTTTAGTCACTGGATTGTTAATAGGTCTGTTTGCATCCCCAAATGTGGGTACATTTGCAAGTGCAGCAAAGAAACGCAATTTCAAATTGCCAGAGTTTATTTGTTAGGTTTTCACTACAGTTTAGATGAGTTTTCACGAATACAATTCTGACATTTAAATCGAATTCTGGGCTGTTTAGAATGAATCAAACAGACAAACGTTTAACTACTAGTGAAACAACTGAAACCTTTCTCTATGACTAACCTTCACTAGCAGCTCTCGGCTGAGCGAGTAATTGTTGTCATCCGAAAAGATTTCAGACAGTTCTCTGAAGGTGCGGAAACTCTCCCTGCAGGGGGCAACATAGAGATTAGAGCACAGCCCTTATCACAGTCACCTTACAGCTATGGTAGCTCGTGTCTTACCGGGACACTTCCTCCCAGGTTCTCTTCAGGCGGTGGATGGCATTACATTGTAGGGCTGAGAGGATGGCACGCAGCGAGGAGAAATTCTTTAGGATCCGACACTCCTAAAGAAAACATCAAACATTCAGTCAAAGTCAGGACCATAAATATTATAATACAGAGAAAGAGATAAAACTGGAAAAATAAAGAAATAAAAGTAAAGCATGTCCTGACCCGGGCTACGTCAATCCACCTCTCCAGCAGCCGGGCTCTCTGGTTGGGTTTCAGAGTTGGGTTGCTTAGGCAGGTGGTGATGACACAGTTGGTGACGGAGTTGAACTGGGCCACAGTGGCTCTGATGGTGGGGGCCAGATGTTCCTTTCCTTTCTTGTCGCGCTGAGACCAGATCCCACCCAGGCAGTGGTACGGAACAACCTTCTTAAATAGGTCCTGACACACAAACACAGCCAATCCAAGGTCATCAGTAAGTAAATGAACTTCCAAATTACTTGCATTCAAATGTAATGAAATTTAGACACTCACAGCGTCCATGAGTGTGAACTGCTCTGCCACCATGATGGGGTCAAAAGACAGAAAGCTGAAAGCAGGAAGTTCATCCTCAAATCCACTCTCTTCCTGAGTGGCAAACGGGCAGCCGAGGTTGTCCCCTAAAACAAATAGTAATTAATCATTAAAACAATTTAAAGAACACACAGACAGATAAGACGCAATCACTGTCCACCTAGTCTATGACTTTCTCAGCCTTAAATTGCAAATTATCTATGTATTTAGGGTGTGTTCTGTATTTTAAGCTTAGTCAAGTTTTTCTTAATCTTCTTTAACTGAGTAAATCTGCATTTGTTTTTGAGCACTGAGAATCTGACCCAGAAACATCATTGTAAAATCAACCTGTCCTAATCTGTTGAAGAGTCACAGTCTGCAGAGTAGTCCTGCTGCTGAATAACTGACGTTGCTCTAAATCCTGAAATAAGACCAAAAAAAAATGAAAGTACAATTTCTGAATGTACCAGTACTACAGTGCCCCCATTTGTCACCTGCTGATCTGTCCTGCCCAGTTATCCCTCTGATGAGCTAACATCTTATTCTTTCTTTCTTTCTTTCAAGTTTTGACACCTGGCCTGCACTGCCTCTCATGTCCTGTCTTGTCTGCTGTCTCTGTTCTGCCTTGTTCGTGTGTCCTGTGTTTATTCAGATCTGCCAATGCTTTCTGTGTTCTGTCCAAATATCCCCTGTCCTCTACTGTCCCCTTCCTGCTGTCCTTGTCGCAATGGCCCATTCTGTCTTGTCTATTTTTCTCTTGCCATCTCCTGTATCCATACCATCAGAATCAGGCTCACACTGCTGTCTCCGGTGGAAGTGGTCTAGCAGATTCCGTGCTCGGCGTTCCAGGTCTGATCCTGGAAAGTGGACGTGCAGGTAAGACAGGAGCTGATGGAGACAGTCATAGTTGGGCGGAGTCCAGAAATCCTCTGAGTACTGGTCAAGCCATGCTCCCAGAATGGACGACACGGTGCTGCAAAAACAAAAATACACAGTTCAATGTCAACAAAGTCATTTTACAATTCTAACTAAGAAAAACATCTGCAGCAGCTTCAACCTTCAATCGTTGACTTACTTCCGGAGCTCTGTGCAGTCGTCTTGACAAACTCTGTGAGCAGATGCTGTAGGTACGTTCTGCAACTTTGCATATCTTGACAGAAACGGAAAAAAAACATCAGAGAGATCAAATTGGGAGTTTTGGTTTCAGACGTCTATCGTTGCTGTATAAATAGTGTCACACTGTGCAACACTGCAGGTCCACAGAGGAAATCAGTGATCATTTATTTCAGGTAGGCCAGCATGCCGTGGGATGCTTTGCTGGGGTGTAGTTTTTTGTTTTTGATCTTTGATCCCGAAAATTTACCAATATCTGACCAATAACAAACCTGACTACCGGCTTGAGCTATCCCTAGTTTAAATTAAGTTTAAACTATATTTAGCTAGGAATTCACTGATAGCAATTCCAGTATTACACACAATACCTAATTCAAATAGTCACACTCAAAAAAAATGTAACAATCTGGTAACCTCATACTGCAAAACCAATTGCAAACCAGTCAGCCAGTGTTATGTTATGTATTTGTTTTTGTGAATTCAGTGTCTCATCTTCCTCATGGGTAGTTTATTTAAGTAGGTCAACTATGTCAGCAGTCTGGAGGTAACACCAAGAACAAGGATGAAACAAGACTTAGTGTACGTTTTTTTTCTATTATGATACAAGCAATTTAATAAAACACCTGAAGACACACCATAGCCCAGAACACAATGAGGTCTCTTTTCAGTTTAACGGTGCCATGCATTGATGAGAGGGTTAAACATGACCAAGAAACTTTTTTGTTGCGAGTCGTGTGGGTTAATTTGTTTGTTCTACAAAGTTTAAATTACACTTATGCTGGAACCAGAAGAAGGAGTTTTCCAAGGCAATGTGCTATTTATGCAGAAGCTTGGCCCAGTTCATGTTCAGCTAACTATGCAGAAGGTTAAGTTTTATTTATCTTTTTTTTAAATTTATTTTATCCTTTGTTTTATTCATATATTGTCTAATGGGGGCAACGGTGACAGTTTGAAGATTTTTCTCTAATACACAAAGATTTGTTTCCTTTTGGATTGAAATAATATTCTAAGATTATAAAACAGTCTGTAAGTGTTTTCCTGCTTCATGTTCCCACTGTGAGACCCTCACCATTTCCCACAGAGCTGCAGCACATAAATTTATATATAGAGTAACACCACCTTCAAGTTTATTGCATGGTTACAGAAACTATATTGGTGACAGAGTTCATAATTGGCCAACAGACAAATAAAATAGTCGTACTTATATTGGGTTATGAAAATGGTATTGGGACAATCTAGTCTAAGCTGCACACACATACACAGATGCATACACACTACACTGACCTGTTGAGCAGCAGGTCTAGGACCTGCCTGGTGCTGGCGAAGGATCTGTAGGTGCAGAGGAAGATGGTGACGTAGGTGGAGTCTTTTCCTCTGAACGCCGACACCATGTACTCCACCAGACGCTCCAGTGTCCCTGCCTTGATGGTCCTCACCTTGCAGGTCTCGTACAGGCTGAGCGCCGAGTCTGTGTCCACACCCAGCCAGCGCTGCCCCTTGCTAGCTGACTGGTGGAGCTGCACCTTCCTCAGCGTGATGGTGAAGATGGCATCTTCCTCAGCCTCCTCCCCGATCTCCTGCGTTGAGCTCTGAGAGGTAGAGAAAGAAGTTGACACTTAGATGCAACTGTGAGGGAGCACTACAAAACCTTTTCTGTTGATATTCAATTTTAGAGTTTGAAGCAGAAAACAGCTGAAGAAGCAGCAGATCTGAATAAACCAGTTGACATCATTAATACAGACAAATCACAACAGTGCAGCTGACCCTGACAAAAAGAGCATCTGACTTTGAAGGGTAGCATAAGGTAAAATTTCTCAAAACAATAGTAACAAAATTACACAAAAATAGACAAATCTGCTCTCCGGACTGAAACAAGGAATTTAAAAAAAACCCTGGTGTAAACATTGAGCAGTTTCCTTCTTAGAATGCTACCATTAAAACCTCAGTACAAACAAACGAAAACTGTCACATGACGTCCTCCCATAACAATCGCATGAAGTTGAAAACAGTATCTTTGTTGTTATTGTCAAACAGACTAATTCAGATACAACAAATAGATCTAACTGATTTAACGAAAGGACTAACTGTTATATTTGGCCCCTGCTGTGGCCTTCAGTGACCCCTGATGTTGAGCATCATGCTGCAGCTGCTATTGTCAGTGCTGCTGTTGCTGCTCCAAGTTGTGACATCAGCACAGCTGATGTGGAGTGTTAAAAAACAAAAACAACAAGGGCAGAAAAACAATACCTCTATTCATCACCAATCCACTCACTATTCACTTATAATCACACAGCATAGTTCACTGTAAGGATAACTCCAGGCAAACTCAAATAAACCCAACGTGACCCTTTAAGATAAACCTGACACAAACCACAAAACTAAGCCTATACCAGGAAAACGAACTTCACACAGATAAGACTTATCCTAAACAAGAAAGCTAACACAAGAGAGGCGCTGACATCTAGATACAAGAAAAAAAGGAGGAAACTGGAGATAAACAAGGCTTAGACTGATGTTTAAGAACATGTACTGTACCTCATGTTCAAAAATGTTACAAAAAAGACTCCAGAAGAATTTTTGTGGGGAACTGACACACATTCTTTGGAATTCAAAGAAGTCTGTGTTAACTGGAGATTCCTTTTGAATGACTCACTGACCAAATCCACATTGTCCTGACACACACTGACAGGAAGTTAATGCAGTTACTCTGATTGAACAAAAAACCCCACTTTCACTTTAACTCTTTTTATCTTGTGTGAAGCTGATTGCCTTCGACAGCTGTGTCACACTTTCATAACAGAAAACATGAAACCGATGTGAAACGTGGGTCATGGACAGTTTTTTAGTGGACATGATGTTCGAACACTGAACCAACCAACCAATCGTGAAGACTGGAGGGGTTATTCAGAACAAAAACAGCTGTTGCTGCTGCTGCTGAAAACACAAGTGTGCAGTTCCTTTTTTATTTTTACGTAATCTTGAATCACCAGCTAAGTGTTACATTTGAATTCAGGCAATAATCCAGTGACTGACTGAAATTAATAATAATATTCATCACTTTAGATCTCTCTAGTTTGATACCAATAGCACTTTGTAAACTAAAGCCAGGAAATCGGACATTTGTGCTGAGCAGTGTAAGAGTGGCTCATCCACAGAAACCCCCTCAGAGCTCAAACCTAAATGTAGACCAGCAGTGGAAGTCCCCCCTACATCACACACACACACACACGTACACACACGTTTTAACAAAAGCAACAATAGTCAGCATCAGTTACAGCCCTATAGCTCAAACCTGTGAGTTTCTGTGACAACAGCGCAAAACAGTGACAAAACTGAACAACAAAACAAAACAACGGCAACAGTAAAGGCTAACGCTAAGTATTCGATTTCAAACAGAAGACCATGGAAAAACATACAACACTAAACACCTCACCCCTCGCCACAGACCTGTATTTTTGTCATTATCACAGCAATAGATCTAGAACCTCTTTTGGAACCCCTAACTGGGACTCCGTCCAAGTCCGTGTTCACATGAATTATGTTTGGTTCTTTTACTAGGCTGAAAATATAACAGACCAAAATCCAGCTGACTCAACTGAACAAAGTATAAAAAAAATTAAGAAAATTTACAAAATAGCCCTTTAAAACAATCTGGTCTGTGTTAAAAGTCCAGAGAACGTTAAGTTTGCCAAAAACCACAGTTGAGTATAGGAATAAATGCGGAGCTAAAACCAGATTTGATTCTAAACAATAAATTATCTCCAAAACAGACTTGGTCACCTTTCTGGTTTTCACTTTATGGGGAGCACTGTCTGAGCTACACTGTCTCAGACATGTCATGGTCAAATCTCTCACAGCAGAGAAAGGCACCCAGCTGAATCAGGAGATCTGAGTATTTTTCCAGGCACCAGGCTTCACATTCCTTCTGCTGCTGCTGTTCAACTCCTCGGCTTCACTCTGTTGGAAATGAAGCTCAAACCGAAAACCTGCCTGCTGTGCAATGAACAACAATTCATCTCCATTCTATCTCTGCTCTCCTGTCGCCCTCCAACCTAAGAGCTTTTTAACAGAGCTGCAGTAAAGTGATCAGAGCAGATTCTGTGAGGACATCTGCTCCGAGTCGAAAGATTTATATTTCTGTCCACGTGGTGAATGTGGACATGCAGTGTTTCACTGTAAGGCTGAGTCACAGTGAGGATAATATGATGGACCGGGGACTGCTGTTATACACAGACAAAAACAAAGAGAAAGACAGACCAATCAGCAAAGGGTCTTAAACTTCTTGGTCTTAAACTCAATCCTACAGTTAATGTGAATGGACCTTTATAAATTAAAGTGAAGTCATTGTTTAGTGAGACAGAAGTGGGTCAGAAGTGTTACTGTAGACACACGCATACAAACACTGAGCTTTTTCACAGTCACACTCGTACCTGGAATACATTGGGACCATCAGTGATCCAGATTATCTAGTCTACAGTTTAACTGGTTCAACCAACCATTCATTCATTCATCTTTCACTACATAATCCAGGTGAAGGTCACAGGAGGAGCTGAATATAATCCCATGTAAAGAGTGAACCATGAACTCAGAGAGTTTCCTTGCTACAATAATCATATTAACAAAACTACCAGAACCATCCAGACTATAAGGATGACTGCAGCAAACAAACACATTCTGGTTTGACTTAAAACAAAGACCTTTGAATTCTGAACTAAAACAGCTCCGTTACTAATAAGTTAGCTAGAATCACAGCGCCCCCTGAACTTGTACAAGGACATCTTGTGAAAGAAAATCTGGGTCTGGTCTGAGCTGAGAGATGTTGACAAAGTGGAGAATGAAAATGAGAAAAGTTCACCATCTCCTTCTCCTGCAAGCAGAAGGATTAAAGTGTTAGATAATTGTGTTAGAGGTGGATTAGATCACAGTCAGAGACACCAAGTCTTAACTGTGTTTTCACAGTTTCTTCACTGGAGACACTCAGTCTCAAGACAAGACACCAAGTGAGTTCACGCTTTATCCATGACCAAAAACAACAAATTGAAAGCTGGTCTGACCAGAAGACACAGGACACATGGTGATCTCCACATGAAGACATAGCAAATGTTGGCTAGTCCCGAGTGTTATGTAAGTGTGCTAAATATTCCGCACCCACCCTAACTGATTGATGTCCAGAACAGGGTCTGGAGAAAGTTCAATTTAATCCACATTGACAGGAACTTTACTGCAGGTTTAAAGTTCATTCATCACATTCTCAACAACACAAGGTTCCGGAAAGAAGATTTAGAGACAAAGATAAAGCCTGTTAAACATCACTGGATCTTTATCCTAAAGAAATACTGTCACAAATGTCCTCCTGAATCCCTTAATGAAAATGTATTTTTATTTACAAATTTAAATGTAACAAAAATACTTAAGTGAGTACCAGGAAAGAGCAACAGCTAAAACAAACACCAGGACAAAGAAACAGTACCAGGGACAAGATGTAATTTCACTGCAAGAACTTGCCACAAAAACTAGTGAGTTCCAGAAAGTATTTTGTTTCAAAATAAAGAATATGTTTAGACCACGTGGAAGTTTAAACATTTTCTTTAGAATTATCATGAACAAATGATTTAATTTTTTTGACATTTTTTCAGTTTAATGAAAACTAAAAACAAGCAATAAATGAGTGAAGAAAGTTTATATGAGAAGAATCGGCTTTTAAACATATTTTGAAAATTTAAACGCGTATTCTAGTACGTATTTTAAACAAACGTTGTTAATTATTTTTGATAACAAAACTTAATCGCTCGCTGTCAAACGTTTGGATGTTTTTGTGAATACAAATAATTATTTAGATACATTTTCCAACATTTCTGCAGACATTCACTAACTGTATTTCATGATAATTATTGATTTTTTTTCTCCTTCTCTCAGAGCTCAGGGTCACTTCACTGTCAAACCTCCATCACAACAACCGGCTCAGTTAACCAAGCTGAGTCGCCGCTGCTTCATCATCCTCCGCACCGACCTCTTGTAGCCGGGCTTTGCCTCATCCCTGCCCCTGCCTTCTCACCGGTTTCCTTCTCACCTCTGGTAGCGGCAGGTCCGGGTCCAGCTGGGTGAAACTGTGCAGAATCACTGGGCTTCGCTCCTCCGTTACCTCAAGCCTCACCCCGTCCCAAATGTTCCGCACCTTCCACGACGAGTCGAACATGTCGACCAGCGGGCCCTCGGTTCCTGTGACCGGGGAAAAGACCATGGAGACCCTAAATCCCAGTGCTGAGTCACGGTACCGACATTTTCCCCGTTACCCGTCCGCCTTCAGTGCGAGGCTTCTCCGCTAGATGAGGGTTGTTAACTGGTACTACTAGCGCAGCCCTGACGCCCGTGAACGCACCATGACTCACACACAAAGCCACGCCCAGTCAGAAACGTTACCTCCCCGTGATATAACGGTAGACACCCGTTATTAAAGCACTACATATTTTTCAGAAAATTGGAGACAAAAATAATTTTTGCCGATATTTTAATACTATTATTACTATTGTTGCTACCCCCTGAAAAAATGGACAAAGCCGTAAGAAAAAGTGGTCATGAAAAAAGGATCAGATGCTTAAAGAAATTGTTTGTTAAAAATAAAAAAACAACTTGTTTAAAATAGCAATTCTGACATAGATTCTAATACAAATGAAGAAAAAACAAAAGGTTTTTCTCATAACCAACTATATATCGGAATGGATGGATTTAACTAATGGTAAATCATTATATTTGTGTTTATTTGTCCATGAAAAATTATACGATTTTTTGTTTGTCTTGTTGTTTAACCACAACCTAATATAGTATATTCTAAGTATTTGTTAAAAATGGCGAGTGGTTTGCTTATACAGCGTTAGGTAAAATGTTGAACTACGTCTCAAATTAATGTAACAAACGTTTTAAATGTACAAGATGTCCCTCAACGCACCATTCACCTCCTACACTCATGACGTCATGCCTTTCGGGAAATGACATCACACATTGTGACAAGCTGGAAATAACAATAATAATACTCCATTCATTTTCATCCGATTATCCGTTAATAATAATAATAATAATGTATTATTGTTGTTATTATTAATATTATTATTGTAGTATTTTTAAAAATCTATAAAAAACAAATATTTATTACTTCACTGAATATGTTTTTTATGGGTTTATGTCATTATTTCTTTAAAAATCCAAACAAACCAAAGTTCAGTGAAATTTATAGTTATCCTGCCTCTCATCACATCTTGAAGACTCATTGAAGATTGCTGCCATCTTCTGTCTGTGTTCAACAAAAGTATACAACAGTGCAATCCATGAGATTTGACACAGCATTTCTGACCTCGATTCATCACCTGCTCAAACTGAGCTGCAGGATCTGTGCTGGGCTGCTGCCAGTAAAACAAAGTTCTTCAAAAATATACAATAAATCTGTAGAAAGGAGGACGTAGACAGAAAAGACAGTGAACGGACAGGAGAAAGGCTTATATAAAAATCTAATAAACATAAAGGGAAAATAAAACAATTGCATGCTATTAACATGTCACGGCCTAAAAACATTCCCATTGCTGGATCTACTGCCAGACACAAGAGGGAATCTCAAATTTCTTGTACAAATAATACTTTAAGTGTCACAAATATTGCATGTTTTCCTTGCAGGAGCTAACAGTTATCCATAAAACTGATTTCAAATCATTAGTGATCATCTAATGAGTGATCATCTGATGAGACCTTACACACCTGCCTGACTCCTTGTCTCCTCAGAGTCCGGTAAAAATCTTCTCCATCCCAGCAGACACTGGTGCTGAGCAACAGTCCACAGCCCCACCGCCTCATCAAGATCCTGGTCCAGAATCACAGATATTCACTTCTAAACACCTCCAGATTGATAGTCCTTTAGAACCCTAAAACAAGAAACCTCAACACTAACACTCATCAATCTCCAAATGCCGAAAGCTCCAGTTCCAGACACAAACTTTTGAAAGCAGAAACCTACAGACCCTGAACTGTCAGGTCCAAAGAGTCCTGAACCCTGCAGCTCCCACTCCCCCCAGCACAGATTGGCCGAACCTTAGCTGTCGTTCTGGTGACACGTGTTTACTTTGCAGCTGAGTAAACAAGACTAGAAAAAATTAACTCGATGTGAAGAGAGTATAAGAAAACATGTCTAAAAAGTTGTGTTAAAGATATTTTTAAAAATCAACAAATACAAAGACATAAGACTGAGAAGAAAATTTCACAATTACATTACGTCACTCACTTGTGACTGTGAAAAAATCCAGAAAAAATAATTAACAATTTTTAACATGGATAAATACAAGTAAATTAAGAATTACCTTAAAGTGATTTTTGATGATCAGTTTAGGAGACATACAAATAAGAACAGGGGAATCGTCTCCGAATGAATCACACAATCAGTATTTATATGAGCGATCTGTGATAGATATTTGACATTTTGTTCAGCATGATTTATGTTGCCATGGTGAGTTGCGATATATCCGGTACAACAGCACTACGTAATGGTCACATAATGTACTGCCTAATTTCTACCTCTTGGCCTGCTGCTCTGCAAATATGTAAGATTCTCTGATGACTAGAAGGAATCTCAGGCTTCGGTCAATTCACTTAAAACTTCACTTCACCTCACTCCTTAATTTTAAAAAACAACAGAATCAAGAACTTCATGACCAATCTTCAATGTGCATTAGGAAATGCTCTATTCAGTTGCAGGTGCAGTTCCAGATCTAATCAGCACTGGGCTGATAACCAAAGCTATGAACATTTTCCACAAATACACATAGACACACACAGTCTGACACACAAACACAAGTGTTCACGCATACATGCTGCAGTGTGATGACAGAGCTCACCAGATCTTCCAGGATTGTAAAGGAGAAATCAAACATGCACATCCTGACGGGCTCAGCCAAGGCCCGATAAACACTGAACACAGACCCGGTTTCCATGCTGCACAGACCAGACCACACTGCTGCTGCAAACACCCACTCTCCGCTGGTAACAACAAAACAACCCAGACAAATGTAAAAAAAAAAAAGAAGAAGAAATAGAGAAAGAACTTCCTAAGCTGCTGCTCACGTAGAGACTCTCACTGGTCGCAGAGCAAATGAGGAGAAAAAGAAAAAGAGATGGCTACCCTTTTACTCCTCCTCCTGCTCTTTCTCGCCAGACAACGTACTTGGCAGCTAATGTATCTTGTCTCATTCAAATGCCAGGATAAAAAATCTGACTTTTTGGCATCTACCCAGATTTATTCCTGATTAATTTAGACACTTAGGAAATCGTGTTTTCTTTGGTTTGGATACTCTGGCTTCTTGAATCTGAATTAAAGTAGTCAGATGTCTAATACACTAACAGAACTGACAGCAAGTTCTATAAGTCTCAGTGGAATACCTGGAAATCTGGGGGGCTGATGCCTGGTTGCAAGCCATAGTTGATAGTGGCAATAATGATGATGGTAATGATGATGATGATGATGATGTAGCGCTTCTGTTTTTCCTGTGCCAAAGTGCATTGTGGATTTAACTACACTGTTGGGTGTGGGCGACAGACCTGATTCAATAAATAGTGTTTATTGATGCAGCCAGTCTGAATCACGTCTAATGTGATCAAATATGATTCACCCGCATTCTCAACATGATAGATAGACAAAGATAAAGAGAGTGAAAAAAGAGAGGGGGAGAAACAAAGAGGCAGAGAGACAAATAGAGAGAGAGACAGAGAGAGAAAATATTTTACTGTATGAACTGTCAAACTGAGAAAGCAAAAACTCCATCTTGGCTAATGTATTGTCTGTTTTTCTTTGTCCAGACATCAGTGTCTGACTCTTTTGCTTGGTTGTGCTGCAGAAATTTAATCAGAGGAAAACAGATGTGTGTACTTTTTTTGTGTGTGTGTGTTTTAGGTAGGCTAGGTTTATCATTTCATCTCTGTGAACTGTCAAACTGAGAAAGCAAAAACTCCATCTTGGCCACATTTGTTGTTGTAAAATGTTTTTTGCTGAGCTGCATTTACAGATCAGAATATTGTGTTCAAATACAGACAGCACTGAGTGGACTTGAAAATAGGAATTCAAACTAGGTCTTCATGGATGTGTAACTATAATGCCATTCCTGAATAGTCTATTTTAACAATATTTGTATTACATGTAAGAGGTCTGTGGACTATATTGAGCCTGTAGTAGTATGGGAAAGAAAACACAGATACAAAAACAGAATCTAAGAATCAGATTTTTTTGTTGGATTGTGGAATTGATTTTGGGAGAAATCTTTGCTCCTCATGACTGGATTCATCTGTTAATCCTAATTGGTGGACATTGTTCTAGGAGATGAAAAAACAACAACAACAAAACTAAAATAAACTCTAAAATAAACCACAGGATGTCAATAAATTACATATACAACAATGAAAATGATGGGAATATTAAAAAACTTAAATTGCAATAAAAAACAGATAGGAAGCAACATACATTTTCATAATGTATGATTTTTGTTGTTGCTGTGGCTGAGATTATTATTTGCAGTTCTTATTTATGCCCAGTGCCTGACTATAAAAATGTTAGGGGTTTCTTGTTGTAGTGAAGTTCAAACAGTAAATAGAAAGGGTTTTTAATCCTAATTCAAATGCAAATGAGGGTGGAGGATTTCTTTTTTAAAAGAGCATGAGCATTTAGGAAAGGAAAAAAAACTGCTACTGCTTTTCTTTAAGATCCACGGAGAGAGAGAAAGGATGAGATGCTACTGCTGTTTTTCTTTAAAAACGAGGAGAGACAGAGGGAAGACGAGCTGAGAAGCAAACAGCAGCGCTTTTACATGCAGAGGCCGTACCACACTGATCCATAGCCATGGAAACAGTGAGGAAGAGCAGGCCCTTTATAAAACACACAAACACAAAACACAACCACATACACTAGCAGGCAGGAAGTCAGAGTGCACTCTGCAGGATATCTTCCTGTGGTGTTCAGATTCACTTTTTGGTCATATGACCAGAAAGTTTATTGTAAGCCAGGTCAAAAATCTGCAAAAATTAAAATAAGGCCAAAATATGACTAAAGCTTAACAGAATTATATTAATAAATAATAGGATCAAAGAAATGCCTGAAGTTTTTGGTAAACTTTTACCAAACAAAACTGCATATGGACACACGGACACCCTCGGTATAATAATAGGCTTGATTGCAATAAAACTGGGATGGGCAACACATGTTTGCTGCTTACAAAGAAAAATAATATGAGCAGGGGACTGGTATACATCTGGAAATCCATCAATACCATCACCATATAGCATCCGTATGATAAAACATACATAATATCACATAAAAAACCACTGCCATCGTGATATGAATTACTGTCACATACATCAACATTTTGACATTTTCCCACATCACGTTCATCATCATGTTCTTTTTTTCAATTATCGCTGTTTATCGTCAGCAGCAGCAGCAACCACACAATCACAAAACTATCATCACCGTCATATTAACATTACGCTCAGGTGTACAGTATTAGCATCACTTGCATTAGCACCCTTTTTGTCTCACCTGTTTTTCCAGCATGATCATTCTCTCTCTGTCATGACCTTCATGTGTGTGCGTCTGTGCATGTGCGTGCGAGCGTGCACGCAGCTTCAGCTTCTCCTCATGCACTCTCCTCCTCCTCCGTTACCATCCTCTTCTTCTGCTTCTTCACGAAGCCAAAAAAATAAATAAATAAATAAATAAATACTCAAAGCAGACAGCCGAGTGCTCTTGCAAAAACGAGTCGCTGATGAGCTAATACATTATTTTTGGGTGAATTCCAACACTTCAGGTAGCAGTGGCTTTATTTTAATCCTGGAAAAAATACATGAAGATGATGATGAAGATGAAAAGCAGGGTTAGCCTGTTAGCCTACAACCCTGTTAGCACCAGCAGCAAATCACGGCACCATTCGTCCTGTCATCCTTTTACTTGTATCAGAAGAAAACCAGCGATAGCAGCAGAAACAGATCGAGAGAACAGAACGTCAAAATCCACAAAGTAAAAGTAAAACCGTGCGGCGATTAGGAGAAGAGGGTTTGACCGCTGGAACACTGATGGAGGAAGAAGACGAGGAGGAGGAGGAGGACGAGGACGAGGATGCTTCTGCTCCTGCTTCTAAGCACGATAAAGCCCACAATTACGACTATCGTGAACGCACCACACGGACTAACGTTAAGGTTAACCTCCAAAAGAAAATTATTATTAATAATAATAATCGTTTGTGTCTAAATAGCACATTTCGAGATAGCCAAGGACACTTCACAGGTAGGTCACACAATAAAACATAAACAACACATTTTTAAAGGTAAGAACAATACGTTGAAGGGTATTTACGAATATGAATTTGTATATATAAAATTATAAACATTTAGAATAACTTAAAGAGTAAATAGTACATTTTATTTTATAATGTCGTCTAAGAACGGTTCTTTTAGGCATACATTTACTGCTTATACTTTAACTTATTGAATGTTCGCATTGTTTGTGCATGGGTTTCCTTTTCTGTACTGTTACCTCTGACGATAATCGTATTAATTGTTTTGTTAAATAAAAAGGCCCTAAAGAAAAACAAATTTCAAACCAGTTGAAAAAACGTTTTTCTTTACAATTTAATTAGTCTATCTTATGATCTGGAACTAAAAATGTGTAGTCAAGTTTAAGTTCAGTTTCGTCTCCGCCTGCTTCGCGCTGCATCGTGGGATTTTTTTTTTTTTTTTTGTATAATCCAACATGGCGACCTCCTGCGGCAGAGCGTTGAGTAAGGTCGGATGCACTTTACTGGGCTCTCCGGCGGTCCGTTTACTGTGTGTCGTGGGCTCTCAAGGATCCAGGAGGTTAATCGGTACCAGCTCGACTCATTTCAAACCGGTACCAGCTATGAGAGTACGAAGAAGTTTGGGTTTAGCTCTGGCTTTGGGTGGGGGTTTTGGTCTGTATCAGGCTGTAAAGATCAAGGCTCTGCAAGCTCAGGAAGAAGACACGACCCAGGTGAGTTCGGACCCTGGTTTGGGTCAGATCTGATCCACAGCTGATGTTATCTGATTTACACACACACACACATTTATGCATCCCTCCCCCCTTACATGCACACACACTCGCCAGCCCAAACACACATTTAAACACACAGTTTTAAAGTCAAGTCAAATCAGTTTTATTTGTATATCCCAGATTCACAAATCACTTTAGTATCACTGGTCAAATAAAGATTTAAATTAAACTCCAAATACCATCTTAATAAAAACATTTAACAGGTGGGGTTTTGGAATTTAGGTGTTTCTTTTATTTGGAGTATTATTAAAGTTTTCTTGTTTGGTTGTGTTAGTGATGATATAATTTGGTTGTGTTGCTAGAGTAGTTTGTAAGACAATATTGAATATTAAAGTAATTCACCATCAACAATTTATTTTACAGTATTATTAAGAATTATAAATATCATCATTTAAAAAATACAAACATTGCAGAATTTTACAGTATTACCCAGTATTATGCATATTTTGTGTTTGTGTAATGTTTACTGTAATTTAAGATCAAATATTTGTTATAGTATAATCTGCAGTGCATAATTATGATGATTGTTTTTTCTGTTTCAGTCCCAATTGTGTTATGTATAATACTGTACAAATATATAAATAGTACAGCAATGTGTATTAAGGTAGTAGACCAATCAAGAAAGAAAATGTATTGGGATATTGTAATAGTACACACAAGATACATTTTGTTGTCCCTGTTACTTGTGATTTTATGACACAATATTTATTTAATTAATGTTATTGTAGTAAAAAAATACTCCATATTTGTTTTTCTTTCTCTATCCAGACTTCAGATGGCACTTTAAAACTGACACTCTACCAGTACAAGACGTGCCCTTTCTGCAGTAAGGTGCGAGCCTTTTTGGACTTTTATGGACTTCCATATGAGATTGTGGAGGTAAACCCAGTGATGAGGCAGGAGATCAAGTGGTCTTCATACAGGAAGGTTCCTATCCTGATGGTGAACAACAGTCTGGTAAGAGGACAAGCCCGCCATTCTCTCGCCATATCACAGCGAGCATAGCCTCACACTTGGTGCTGTAGAAAGATGAAGGGCTTAGGGTAGTAGCATTTGACAAACTGTAGACTGACTGTAATTAGATACAGATTGTAGTTGCAATCAGAGTGACTCTTGAAGTAGTTTTTTATTTAAAATGTAAAACATGCTCCAAATGTTTACTGTTTTTTGTTGTTTTTTTTTGTATGTCATTTGTATGTCATCTGTTTTTTCCAACAAAATTTATATATTTAATTTTTGATGTAGGCTTAATATAAATCACTCTGTAAAGAATTATTTTCTATTTTTTATTGCAGCAACTAAATGACTCATCTGTCATCATCAGTGCCATCAGGACTCATTTAATCAACAAGTGAGTCTATTATACACTTTTCATTTCAAAGTATTTTAAATAATAAAAAATACCAAATAATAATAATAGAGAAAGTCAAAATAATTTACACCAGTGATGACACAAAATTACACATGAATGAATTCAACAGTGGATCAACAACAGAGTCCCCTCCAGCTAAAATCTATGTTTTTATGCACTTTGATGTAGCTATACACCTTGTATTTCTTTGAACTGTGACTGGTCTGATTGTTACAGAAACAAGAACATGGCTGACATCATTCGTTGTTACCCAGAGATGAAATCTGTGAATGACCGAGGAAAGGAAGTGACTGAGTACACAAACAAGTACTGGCTGATGTTGGATGAGGTTGACACTACTACTGTTTACCCTGAGAAAGAGATACAGAAGTAAGAACCACAATGAATAGAAATGTTTCTCATCCTGCCAGATATTTACCTGAAAATTGAATATAGTGTTTCTTTGATCTTGTTTCAGAGAGGAGATGAAGTGGCGTCGGTGGGCAGATGACTGGCTTGTACACCTTATATCACCAAATGTCTACCGTACTACTGGTGAAGCCTTGGCCTCTTTTGACTACATTGTTCATGAAGGAAAATTTGGGACCGTTGAAGGTTTCTTTGCCAAATATGTTGGTGCTGCAGCCATGTTCTTTATCTCTAAGATGCTGAAAGCCCGGTGAGTAAAAATGTTGCCCTGTGAGACTATGTTTAAAAGTTTGTAAAGGTCACATAGGATAAAAATAGCTTTATATTTATTTCTATTGCTCAGAACTTAACTGTTTTAGATGGACTAAAAATATTACAACTTTTTTGTAGGCTAAAAGAGTATTCAAATCCACTGTTTTATACACTACACAAAGCTGGCTTTGTATAAACTATTTGAAGTTACTTAATGTAAATAAAATAATTAATCAAATTCAATTCCTTTTTATATCATTTCTAAATATCACATTATATATTATATATAATAATATATTATTTGTTGTGACCACACAGACACAATCTGCAGGACGATGTGCGTCAAGATCTTTACAAAGCTGTCAATGACTGGGTGACAGCCATTGGCAAAAAGAGGAAATTCATGGGTGGAGACAATCCCAACCTAGCTGACCTGGTGAGGGCACTGTTTTGTAATCTGACAATTTGAGGCCATTAATTCCACATTATTTTTTTTTTCTTACACTAACTCCCATAGAATGTAATTACAAAATTAGTTGTTATTCAGGAGGTTTGATGGCATTCCATGGCCCTACTCTGTGCCATTGGAGACACTATCTTAACATTTGTATCATTTCAGGCGGTGTATGGTGTCCTCAGAGTAATGGAGGGTCTTCAGGCGTATGACGACATGATGTCCAACACCAAAATCAAACATTGGTACAGACGAATGGAGAAGGCCACAACGAGTCACGAGGGGCAATGCTGAAGCTATGGACTGTCCTAGCCTCAAATATAATGGGTGAATGGGACTGACGTTTATTCATTCAGTTCCTACCCGATTGCCTTTTGAAATAAACTTAGAATACGGTTAGGTTTCACTTTTTTGGTCTGACTCACAAGTATCTGAATGTATAAAAGTTGGTTCCATACGTTTTCCTTTTTGTTGATGTGTCTGACTCATTCAGAGTCATTTTCAGTGAGAAAAAAGAACATTATAAAAATTCACATTCTGTCATTGATTTAGGAAAGTAAAAGAACTGTTATGAAGTGCTTAAGTGTTATGATGTAAAACCAACTTTAATGGGAAAATGTAAATTAAAAGAATTAAAAATCAAATGTTAGAGTGTGTTTTGGGATCATTTTAATTAGGGCTTCCATTACTTAATATTTTAATCTAATTAATCACAGGGTATCTGTGAATTATTCTGGTCTGATGCAGCCCAGGCATCTAACCTGAATTTAGAGCCTCCACAAATACATGCCAGTTGTTTTAAGCTTGAGGTACCTCAGTGAAACAAACTCCTTCCTGCATTTAAATACTAAAAAGTCAACAGAAGGTCTTTATCAGTCTTTATTCAATTTTTTCTTAACATAGTTTCCTCAAATTATGAATAGGGTTGAAGAGAAACATTTCCAGATATCTCAAATGAAACCCCAGACTACCTCCAAATTGTAAATTATTAAGCTGTGAAACAACTGTCTGGACTGTCCTGAATTTAACATTAAAAAGAACAAAAAAGAAAAGTTAAATAATTACAAATATAGACTGAGGTGATAACTCAATGACCCTTATTCATCCTTCAACATTTCATGAACAGCAAAACTGCAGAACAAGTGAAGACATCCTGGTGTATTTTCAAAAAAAAAAAGAAAAAAAAGAGCAGTTTACATACGGTTTAAAGTTATTCTACATCACACATCGGCTTAAGTTCTTTCGGAACATCTTTAAAAATCTATAATAAAACTTTTGACTTCTTGTCCGCATCATCACTTATTCCACTGGGGTGGAGTCAGGAGACTCATTCCTAAGGTGAATCAATAAGAAGTTCCTAGATAAACCTTTGACATAATTCAACTAAGAGTTATAGAGATTACTTGTCAATCCAGATTCTAATTTGTATAGATGAAGATTGGATATAACACAGTCACCTTGATTGAACCTGTGCCACCAAACAACTAACCAATGTTTGACAGTACTGTAGACATTGTCTGTGTTAGGGTATGTTCTTATCAGCAACATGTTGACTTCAGTGTTATTTCCCATGTTATTTTCTGATACTAGAAAAGGTGTTAATGACCCAACACCGTCTCTTCCTCTCTCAGGACCTCCAGAAGTGTGAGCTCAGTTGACCTTTGGGAGGACTGATTTGTTGACTCCTCAGTGCTGCCTGTTTAAAAGAACACAAAACACAAGACTTAGAGGTGACAGTATTTGTGTGCTGTGAGTTCACTCAGTTAGTATTTGATAAAAGTTGTAAAACAGAATCTGTAACTCCAAAGTCCAGTTATGTTTGGAAATACCTCTGTGACACAAACTGACCAGCAGCTCTTGTATCACCGAGTTAAAATCATTGATTTTCTCTTGGTGGCTCCTGGAAAGGATTGTTTAACAGCAAAATCACAGGTTACCTCGAGAAACTGTTTGAGTCTGATGACTGAACCCATCTGTCCACTACTCGTCACTGCCTCAATTCTGGAAAGAAAGAAAAATTAGGTGGGTGGGGCTAGAGCTGCTGTTGATCTTAGATCAGTGCTTTAACGTGTAAACATCAACATGTACCTAGGGAAATAGTCATCTTTGAGAAGGAGGAGGAGTTTCCAGAACTGACCCTGGTACTGTTTCATCAGAGCAAGACCACAAACCTAAGGAACACAAACAAAAACAGGGACCTGAGGTTCAACCTTGAAACCAGACATTTGACCTAGATCATTGAAAAAACAAGTGATAAAACATTTTAACTAGTGATTTTCTTCTGTTCAATAAATTCTGTTCAAACTCTGCCTCCAAGTCCCAGCTGACATTTTTTACTATATATGTGGAGAGGAAATGTTTTTAAAAATCTTATCAGTGAAATAAAAAAAAGACAAACAGAAGAGCAGCAGCAGCAGCAAAATTCACCTCCAGGAAGTCGTACAGCAGTGTGGCCGTGATATCGGCCAGAGGCTCCATATTCAACATCTGAGCCAACCAACGCCAGCCGTGGTTCAAACCATGAGGAAGAGGCTGAGACAAGAGACAGATACACGTTACAGGTCACAGTACAGTAGTCTGGTTACTAACCTAGTAACATACTACTTTTCAGCTGAATTAAAATGAAAACAAACCAATATTATTCTACCATTGCTAAAAACTAAAGGTTTTGTTTTTTACCTCCTGCTTGGAACCATAGGGCCACCTTGTCTGGATGACAGCAGCATACAGACGGATCATTCCGGACATTCTCTTCAGGAAACTGTCCTGACCTTCAACCCCATTGTCATCTACACGGTAACCGAGAACCCTGAGACAAAGGAAAATAAATTACTGTCGGTGTGTGTATGTGTGAATTTACCGTATCACGGTAAATCTATTCAGAGACATTTATGTTTCTTTCACCTCTGATACTCCTCCACAGATGTCCCATCCTTCATTGGAGGATAATGTGGGACAGCATAGGGACACTTCTTATGCAAATGGGCATGGATGAGGTCTCCCACCTGGGGGTGGCGTTCCCACACTCCAGAGGCCACCACTGCAATAGGGAAAGCTGCTTCATGATGTGAGGCCACCTCCTCCTCTCCTTGTTTCTGTGTGGAACATCATATTTTTATTTCATATGATTTGAAAGTCCACAAGACAGTTGACATTTGCATTGCACTACCGGTGTGGCTTCACTCACCACAAACTTCTCAGCCAGTTTGTAATAAACAAAGTTCCTTCCCTGAGGATGCTGGGAGATGGACACAGATTTTCCCCCTGACAGCACAGCCTGTCCTGACAATAGACGATCCATCTTGTCAAATATTTCCTGCAGCTGTGAGCCAGAGTTACTGGCAATCTGACTGACAGGGATGGTGGCAGCTTTCTGGAGCTCCAGCTTCAGCTTCTTTGTCTGTGAGGAGAGAAAATACAAGTGAAAACAAAGATCTGATCTCAGCTGCCAAATAGTCCAACAGGCTGCTGGGAAATGTCTGGTTATGGAGGAGGAGGTGGGGACAGTAAACACACCATGGTGTCCTTTGCAGAGTTGAGTTGGTCAAAGGACTGGGCACATTGAGCAGCTGTTTCCTGCAAGTCATTGTACCATTTTAAAGTTGTGTCCTCAGCACTATTCTGGATACCTGCACAAAACAAAGGTTTGACGATTTTTTTGTGGGAAAGTAAGAGGTTTACAAACTTTATTGTCTTGTAAAAGAATTCTGTCCAACAGTTAGATGGATTGGTGACTGATTCTGAAGATATTGATTATAGCTGATGCATATTTTATTAGTTATGTATTTTTGTAGAATTCAAATATGATTTTATTTGTGTAATATGAACAAACCTCTCTTTTGAAACCCAGATCAAAAGATAAACACCCACCTTTCCTTTGTGCCTTTTCTTTGATCAACTGCTCCTCCTTTTTCTGTGCCTCCTGCTTTGCATGCAGCTCCTCCTGTTTCCTACGCTGCTCTTCTTCCTCCTGAGCTTTCTTTTTCTTCTCTTGAACCATACCCATTTCCTCCTGCATGAGCCGGATCAGAGCCCTCATCTCATGAAGTGCTCTTTCTGCCAAAGTCATGTCCTCTAAGCTGGGAAATGCTCCCTAAACAGACACACAGATGGGAAGTGAAAGTCAGAACAGACAGCAAATGATAGAAAGAGACATTGCCATTTATTTAAAATTAAATATTCCTAACCTCTGCTGTTTTTCTGACAACATCTGACACCTGGGAGCAGAGCTGATTTCCTCTGCTGCTGTAGGAGCTCAGGCTGGACAGCTCAGTGTTAGACAGTGAGGATGGATCCAGCAATTGGTTGAGCTGCAGGATCTCCTCCTGAATGCTGTTCAGGTTACGCAGCCTCTCCTTCCCTTCAACTTGCCGCTGTCGCTCTAGCTCTGCCTCGCGCTGACGCTGCAGCTCCGCTTCCCTCACTCGAAGGTTTAGAATCTGACATTAGGAATACAAAAAAAAAAAAATCTCCCACTGATTGGAACCACAAAAACTGTTCATTACACCCAAGCATACCTTATCAACACAGACAATGCAATGGAGTTTGAAAATTAAATTAAAATAAATGCAATGCAATCCTGAATTAAACCATGTTAGGTCTCATTCATGATATCCACCATGAAGTACAGCTTTTCCAGCTAATCTAAAATGTCCAGTTTGCAATAGGTACTCTTGGTAAAACTTCTTAGTAAAACTTTCCTGGCTTCCCAAGAAAGTTTTTTATATGTTCTTAAGCTGCAGCAAACACCTTCAGCACCTCACGCCTTGACAGCCACAGGAAAGCATTATGCAACACGAGATCCAAATTGACACTGCATATCAGAGGGATGAGCAGTGTTAGGGATGAGCATTGTTTTAAGTAATTTCTTGAGTCATTTCATTGTTTTTGCAACGTGCCTTTAAATTCGGTCCTAAATTTAGGACAATGAAAACTTTTAACTCCTGACTCCAGACTACCCCAGTGTCCTTTAATCATTGTACCTTCATTCTGTGTCTCTGCTCCTCTTTCAGCTTTTCCTGGCGTCCAATGCTTTCTTTAGTTCTACAGAAATTAAAAAACAATTTGTTTGCATTAAACATCTTTGAATTTTCAGAGACAAAAAAAACATTTGGTGTTTTTTTTAAATGATCATACTCTCTGTCCATCATGTCTCGTACGCTCTGGTACTCCTGCCGCTGTTTCAGTTCCATAAACTCCTCAAATCTCTTCATCTGCTCTGACTCAGAGTTCACCAACTCCACCAATATCTTCTCCTGAATCTCCTGTCGCCGCCTCAGTGCCATCTGAACATCAGATTTTATATATAGGTGAAAAAGTTAACCATCGAGGCAAATTCATTAATCACACACACAACCATCATTTTGTCTGACCTTGGCCTTTTCTCGGTGTTCCTCCTCACACTTAATGATGCGTCCAGCCATCTCCACAGCTTTAGGAGATAGCAGAGAAATTGTGGGTCCAGACACGGAACTTGACTCTTCACTGATGACTACATCTGGATCTTTATCTTTAACCTCATTGCTACCAACCTGTAAGCCAATACATTTTCATTTACATTATGTTAAAAACATCAATCTGTGAAAAGCAGCGGCAGAATGTACACACTCACTTGCATGTGCTCAAAACTCGAAGATGGTTCTGCAGAAAACAGGTTAAGCTTTCCGTTGACGTCAGGACCTGACCCAGAGGTGGGAATTGAGGCTTGGATCACTTCACTCAAACCAGGGCTGGAGTTCCCTGAATCAGAATCCAGGGAGAAGGATTTTTGTAGAGATGATGAGCTAAGACGCTTCAGGATAACTCCAGAGTGAGAGGACAAACTTAAAGCCTCTTTACAGCCAGTCATAATGTGCTGCAAGAAAAAGACAACATAAGATATTTACAGTAAAATTCCAGGACCACACATCTTAAAGACTTGCATCTATGTTTGGATATTTAGATTCTACAAATGACGTTTGGCCATTTCTTTAATTATCTTAAGAAAAACACACGCCAATAGTGTATCCTGGCAGACGTTAACCCTCCACCTTTTAGCTGTACATACTAGGTTAAAACACCCACCTCGTCTCGTTGGAACCAGTGCGGGTCGAATGTGATTTTCCCCTTCGGAGAATTTTTTAACGCCTCTAACGTTTCCCATCTTAAACTTTCGACAGGCATTGTGAAAAGGTAGTTATATTTCACAAAACTACCTCATACAACTGACAAATTCAAAACGACACCACGGGTATTACAAAGAGTCCGACAAGGAACAACCTACTCGCTTTTTATTTCCGCCTGCTGGGTGCACCGCAGGTCTCAATGTTGACGGTTAGTTCCAGACAGTACGTTTATTAATAGCTATTTTTTATTCTTTTAGTTGAAAAAAAAATCTTACTTTACCATCTTCAAATGGGAAGTTTTAAAATCCTAATTATTTCCTAAATCTTTAAATCGCATTGTTATGAGTTAATGATAAAATGATTTTACGTTGGTAAAAACTTGTTGATATGTAAAATGACGACTGGTTTTAAATATATAGTCAACGCATAATAACTGGGTTATTTTTACAATTTAAAACATAGCAGGAAGTAGTAGCATGGTTGCACAAGCACAGGACAAACACGGAACTTGGTGTTTTTACCGGAAATAGGCGAAATCAGCACCCTGTTCTTTTGTTTTCTATTCCTCTTCTTTTTTTATACCATACCTTAACAGTAACTGTAATATTATGTGACGTTTTTCGGTGAACAATAATGTTTTGTATTATGTATGTTCGTGTTATTTTAATTTTTGTGACTAGCTGTGTCGTAAATCCGGGGTTAGCTCTGCATTAGCTTTAGCGGCTAAGAACAAAACAGAGGCCTGGAGACCGTTTAAAATAAAATAAAACAACTGTCAGACAGTCGGTTGTGTTTCTGGCAGTATACTATCCTAAACTTATATTAATTCAAACTATTGAGGTTAAAAATTAATTCGGCTGACAATTTCGCATTGTTAGCTCAGCGGGTCAATCTGTATAACATCTACGTTATATGATAATAAAAGTTTTCATGCAAGTCCATCAGTGACAACAAAACAGAAAGACACACAAGACAACAGGACGGACGAAAAGGTAAGAAAATCGATATGATTTTTTAATTAACTACACGAGAGTCAAAATTTTGCTCTACCTTATCAGAAATACGACACCGACATTGCGGTGTTCATACGACTTGTTATAAACAGAAGTACTATAGTATCAAATGATCCACACACGGCTGTCGTATGAGTGAAATATTTGAACGACATTCATTAATGTATAGGCTAAATTTAGAAGTATTTTAATGTACTTTCCTGACATAATCACATATTTCGTTGTGTGCAGTGGTGTGTTGTGTCATGACAATGAATCACTTTCACTTTCACTATATGCAAAACACCTGATGGTTTCTTAATGTGATAACGCTTCTTTCTGTATAAAATATACATAAAAGTCAACATAAATAATGTATGGCAAAACCTTTGGTATTTTTTTTTAGAAGAATAAGCAGTTAGATTTATTAACCAAATCAATCCGTCTTATTTTGAATAAATTTTAACTTTCCGTGTATCATGCTGTCCAAACTGGAAGCGTGCAGTGTCCCTCTTGCCTCATACATTTTGTAACAGTAATTGTACATTTCCAAGTGATGGGGTTAATAGAGTTTAGCTGTCTCACATTTTTTTCAATGGTATATTGTGCAGTGAACTAGCATGTACGCTCCAGCATCTACTGCTACTCCTGGAGGTAGAAGGAGGAGGGCCGGGACTGCTCTACCTAAACAGCCAGAGCGCAGCCTGGTGTCAGCTCTGCCTGGAGCCCTCTCCATCACTGCTTTGTGTACAGCACTGGCCGAACCTGCTTGGCTCCGCATTCATGGAGGAACATGTCCCAGGCAGGAGTTGGGTGTTTCAGACGTCCTAGGCTACATTGACCCTAAACTGCTGGATGGTAAGCTGCTCATATTATCCTGCAAAGAGTTTTGGGTCAGTAATAGTAATAATAAAAATAACAGTGCTCATTTTTCTGTTCTCTTTGGTGATGGGTTAAAACAGGTCACATTTTGTTGTGTGTGCAGTGTGCTGTGTCACAATAACAAATAATTCACTTTCACTTCACTTTTACTTATATGATAAAAATATAACAATATTAAAAGCCTAGGCTGCTAATGTGGGTGTTTCATGTCATCTTTGTTAGATTTGAAAGAGTCATTGTGAGGGATTTACACTGAAATCTAATTCTCTGTAATATTTAATTCCTTTAGATTACTGTGTGAACCCTCAAACAGTACTGCTGCTCCGGGTCATTGCTGCCTTCTGTTTCCTGGGAATTCTTTGCAGCCTGACGGCATT